TTTGAGGCCATAATATTTCCTCTAAGACATGTATTTTTGATGGCCATAATATTTCCTCTAAGACATGCTAGGAAGCATTGTAAATCATTTTTAACGGCCATTTGAGCCAGTGCTTCTGAGAGAGACCCCAATCATTAGTATACCCCTTTGGTCTTAGGAGCCCTGAGTTGAAGCCCTGTTCCGGAGCTGACTATTCCTAATCTGTAGGCGTGATGGGAGCTTCCTGTAGGCTCATCTTAGGTGATAGTTTAGGGTCTATGGTCCAATCTGGTTATGCCTATTTCTCGGCTTTGTTCGTGCTTCATTAAGGATTGCAAACTCAATATAATTTTTAATGCGCAAAAAATCCCCGTTGCCACCTCCGGGAATCTCATTTTGCAGGTTTTACCCAATAATCTCTCTGTCTGGTTCGCCTATGTCACGCTCATTTCGAAGGGCCCATAATATTTTCCTTCCCAAGACAATGTAGACGCATTGTTTACCATATTTCAGGCCATTCCGAGCCGGTTGCTTCTCCAGGCCCCAAAATCGTTAGGTATACCCCTTTGGTTAGGTATACCCCTTTGGTCTTAGGAGCCCTGAGTGAAGCCCTTTTCCGGAGCCGATATCTTCTGTACGCCTGACAGGAAACTCCTGTAGGCTCAACTAGGCGATAGTTTAGGGTCTTATGGTCCAATCGGTATGCCTATCTCGGCTGCTCATTGCTTCATTAAGGATTTGAAACTCAATATAATTTAATGCGCAAAATCGGTGCCACTCCAGAATCATTTGGCTGTTTTAGCCCAATATCTCTCTGTCTGTCGCTTATCACGCCATTTCAAGGCCATAAAATTTCCTCTAAGACATGTAAGAAGCATTGTAATGTAAGAAGCATTGTATTCAATTTTCGCGGCCATTCCGACCGGTGCTTCCGGGCCCCAAAAAATCTTAGGTATACCCCTCTCTCTTAGGAGCCCTGAGTTGAAGCCCTGTTCCGGAGCCGATTTATCTTCTGTTAGGCCTGATGGGGAGCTCATGTAGGCTCATCTAGGCGATAGTTTAGGTCTTATGCGTCCAAATCCGGTTAATGCCTATTCTCGGCTACTACAATTTGCTTCATAATGATGGAAAGAGTCAATTATAATTTAATGCGCCAAAAAATCGAGTTTGTCACTCCGGAAGCATTTGGCAGCTTAGCCCAAATATCTCTCTTGGTCTTATCGCTTAATTTCACGCCAATTTCGGAGGCATATAATAATTTCCTTTCTAAGACATGTTAGGGAAGCATTTTGTAATCATTTTATCGATACCCATTCCGAGCCGGGTGCTTCCCGGTGCCCCAAAATCGTAGGTATACCCCTTTGGGTCTTTAAAAAGCCTGTGTGAAGCTCTGTTCGAAGCCGAATATCGTTCTATTAGGCCTTAGATTTGGGGAGGCTCCTATTAGGCTTCATTTAGGCGATATTTAATTAGGGTCTTATGGTCCAATCGGGCCTATCCCTATCTCGGGCTAGCTATTTCTTCAATTAAGATTGCAAACCACACTCATATCTTACATGCGCAAAATCGTGCCACTTCCGAAGGCATTTGGCCAGGTTTTTAGCCCCAATTATCTTCTCTGTCCTTCGCTTACTCACGCCATTTCGAGGCCATAATATATCCTCTGAGACCAAGTAGGACGCAATTATATCATTTTCCAAGCCATTTTCTGAAACCGGTGCTTCCGGGCTCCAAAATACATACGTAGGGTGTATCCCTTGTTCTTAGAAGCCCTGGAGTGAAGAGCCCTGTTCCAGAGCCGATATCTTCTGTAGGCCTGATGGGGAGCTCCTATAGGCTCATCTAGGCAATAGTTTAGGGTCTTATGGTCCAATCAGGATAGTTTAGGGTCTTATGGTCCAATCGGTATGCTTATCTCGGCTGTTCATTTCTTCATTAAGGATTGCAAACTCAATATAATTTAATGTGCAAAATCGGTGCAACTCCGGAAGCATTTGGCTGTTTTAGCCCAATATCTCTCTGTCTGTCGCTTATCACGCCATTTTGAGGCCATAATACTTCCTTTAAGACATTTAGGACGCATTGTAATCATTTTCGGGCCATTCCGAGCCACACATGTAGGAAGCATTGTAATCATTTTCGGGCCATTCCAAGCCAGAGCTTCCGGGCCCCAAAATCATATGGATACCCCTTTTGGTCTTAGGAGCCCTGTGCGAAGCCCTGTTCCGGAGCGGATATCTTCCGTACGCCTGCCGGGCAGCTCCTATAGGCTCATCTAGCCGATTGTTTAGGGTCTTATGGTCAAATCGGTATGCCTATCTCGGCTGCTCATTGCTTCATTAAGGATTGCAATTAAATTTTAATGCGGCAAAATCAGGTTTGCCACTCCGGAAGCATTGGCAGTTTTAGCCCAATTATCTCTACTGTCTTTCCTTATCACGCCCTTCTCTGTCCTATCTGACCTCTTACCACGCCATTTTTGGACGCCCATAATATTTCCTTCTAAGACATGTAAGAGGAAGCGATTTTATCATTTGGGCCATCCGAGCCGTTAGCTTCTGCATTAAGTTAAATGGATTAAATCTAATTAAACCAATTAAATTTAATTATGAACTTAAGATCTTAACCTAGGTAATCTATCGGAAAATTTAAGACTACATACAGTCATTCCAATTTCACCACACTCCCACACGTATTATGCACTTAAATAACTCCAAACCAAACAAAATCAATAAGTCATATTAGGCCTTCAGGAAGCATATTTCAATATTTCGGCAGTTTTAGCCCAATATCTCTCTGTCTATCGCTTATCACGCCTCTCTGTCTATCGCTTACCACGCCATTTTGAGGCCATAATATTTCCTCTAAGACATGTAGGAAGCATTGTTATCATTTTGGGCCATTCCGAGCCGGTGCTTCTGCATTAAGTTAAAGAATTAATCTAATAAACCAATTAATTTAATTATTGACTAAGACTAACCTAGGTTCTATCGAAATTTAGACTACATACGTCATCCATCACACACTCACACGTATATGCACTTAATAACTCCAAACCAAACAAATCAATAAGTCATATTAGCCTTCGAGCATATTTCAATATCAAATCTTCTAATTATAATTAATATTCATGAAATATATATTTAGCAATATTCCAAATTAATTGCTTCTTACAATATGCCATTAGCTAATTCCTAGCAAGAATTATATCTAACTAATTATTTGTTAGAATTCAATTTATTCCACTATAAATTTTAAATTTGAAATTTATACTGAAAATGGGAGAATAGGTCTTAGGGCGTACCAGTTGAGAATCGAACTACAATTCCACGATCCGACGAAGAGGAGATAATCCTGCCTCTTGAAGCGTCGCCAGAGAGTCGTCGGACCGCCGCCGTCGTAGCCATCCACGATGGCCGGGAAGTCGTGGATGCCCAGAATTGAACCACGATCATACCATCCGACTCGAAATTCACTAAAGAGTCCATTTCTTGTGTTAGTTTAGTATGACCGGTCCTCTAGTTGGCCGAAACGAGCTCGACAGCGCCCCTCATCGCCGTTCATGGTGGTTTCAACATTCTCCACCAGATGCTTGATTTAACAGGGGGAAAGAGTTCGCACGGGGGAGGTGAGACGATCGACACTACTCCTTCAAGTTGCAGCCGCCGCAAACGGCGTGGATCGCTAAAATCTCATCGCGCGATGTTGAGATCTCCAGTCGTGATTTTCCTCGGCTCTGGCCTTTATTCTACAAATTGACACCACCAGTGAGCTCCTCTCGTCGGGAAGATGAACAAAGAAGGTTTGCGTGCCGGAGTTCATGGCCGATGGCTGGAAAACGGGAAGGAGGAGGACTGGTCACCTACACTCGCTGGGGAGGGAAGAAGAAGAAGGAGAAAAGAAGAAGAAAAGAAAGGAGAAGTCTAGAGCTTCTAGACCATTTCGATTCTATTCAAACCAGTTTGGTCTAATTCAATAATTTGGCTCGGTTTGCAGGTTTTTCACTTGATTTTTGGGTTATTCGTGCGATTTTCGAAAAATCAATTTGATTTCCGGATCCGATTCGATTTATTTTAATTATTTTAGTTAGGTTATGGAACATTTCTTCAATTTACTTGATAATAATACAAACAATAATAATAATAATAATAATTTATTTTAGGATAATTATATATATATATATTATACTTATACTCGATTAATAGCCGGAGTTCCATATTATTTCTCAAAAATTTTAAGTGTTCACAAATCGAAAGTTTCGATAATATATTTTGGGCTTGGGCCCAATTCTCAGACTTGGACTCGATTTGAGACTGTATTTATATTTGCAGACCACACAGTCAAAATTTTCAATTTTTAATTTAATAAAAATTCTACAGTTTCGAAAATAAAAATTCGGGATATTTCATTTATATAATACATAAAAAAGATATTAAAATAAATTAATATGTAAAACTAATTCTAAAATTGTTCTTATCATAATATTAAATGTAATGAGAGAACTCAAATGTACTATTTATCATAATAACAAAAATCAATTGATAAAATAACTAAAAATCTCATACCATTATAGTTTTTCTTTATTATTTGAAATTAAAGTTAATCAAATATTAAAAATTAAATTTTAAATTTTAAAATCTAAAGTTTTAAAAATTAACTAATTTAAATTAATATATTGCACTACACTGCATTAAACTAAAAGTATTAACATTTATTAAAAATTTCATAGTTTAATTTTTTAAAATAATAATGAACTTTTAAATCTATGAAGTTTGAATTTCAGATATGAGATCAAGTTCGAACTTACAATAGCGTCATCTATATCCTACCTATACCCAAAATAAAAAATTCAAATTTTAGCCATCCCGTACTTATCCAAACCCGGTCAAAATTCGTTGTATACACAATGCCAATCAAAGCTATTAAATTATTTAGGACTGAGCCTCATCACACGCATTGGCAGTATGCAGATGGAGGTTCCTTCTCTCACAAACACAAACGCCACATCATCCTGTGCTCCATTTCACAACGCTCATTGGCTTTTTTTTAGTGTTCTGTTTTATCACATGGTTTGATAATACAATGTCTTCAAAGTTCAAACAAAAAGATTAATCCAGTACACGTATTGTTCCACCAATCGACTGCAAACTGCACAAAATATTTTACCTAAAATTCGAATGAAAACTTGCCCTGTAAATATGGAAACCACCTCCTCCCTCCCCCTTCGCCCTCAAAAAATAAAATAAAATAAAAAGAGAATAAATAAATAAATAAATAATAATAACAACAACATAAAAAGGGATGACCTTACAAAATTGCTTTGTTTTCATATTATAGAACTCTTCTAGTAACAAGAATCCCTCCATGCCCATGTGAAATTTGTTGTTACTTGAACGCAACTGATTGTATCAAGTCATTGGCACAAGAACCGATTTACCATGCTATAAAACCTCTGCCACTTCCTTAACCTTCTTAGGCCGGCCACATCGCCTCACATTTTTACTTGATAAAAGCTCCAACGCTTTCTCCAAGGTGATGTCGTCCCGCTTCATATTCTGCAGATAGTGTAAGGTAACACATCAAAACATGTACAGCTGCAGAGCACGTAATAGTTAAATGGATCTGCAAAGGTCTATTTGTCGAAGAGAAGGTTCGAGTCAAGCCTTCGAGCAACCACTTCAAGTGGTGCACTTCTTGTCAATGCTGTTGAAGAGTAGCAGTCTCTGGGCTTCGATCTTCCAGCATCTACTACACTGGAGCATCTACTAACTTGGTCTTGGGAATACAATGAGGTAAGGGACATTGGGAAGAAAAGGAGCTAAATGGTTAACGTTAAACAAATTATGGATTGCTGATGGTATATAATCCTTCTCAATTTGCCTCGACTGACATCAATATTTGCAGTACAATTTATTGTGCTGGTCCCTCTAATAGTGTAAATAACAGTTTATTATGAATTACTAACAAAGCACTACAACTTCGTTATTATTGATAAAAAGGAATTGAATTTGGTTATTGATCAATTGAACATTTAATCTTTAGAAAGAAAAGAAGTAGAAGAGAGGGAAGCTAAATGTGGCATACCTTGGAAACTGAAGCAATTGTCCGTCGATGCTTAACAGCAAGTCCAGCCTTTGCAAATCTTAGTATCACGGGATACCCATCCTTTGGATGATTACCCTGACAAGAAGTAAAATTGAACTAAAAAAAAAAAAAAAAAAAAACTGATAAGCAATGGCTGCGCGAATGGCATTAAACAGCAAAGTCCAGCCTTTTGCAAATCTAGTATCACGCCGGGATTACCCATCCTTTGGATGATACCCGACAAGAAGTAAAACTTGAAACTAAAAAAAAAAAAATAAAAAGGAGTAATCTGTGAAACAAGAATTGCAAAGACAAATACCAATGTCAGCACGGATAAGCGTTAGCAACTCCAAAGCATCATTTCCAGTGAAAAACCATCTCACATCCTTATCTAAATAATACTAAGACAAGAAACGATAAACCAATTTTTGTTATTTAAGATTCATCCATTCAAATGAAGGAACTAGCAGAACTACCCATCTATATGTTATGCAAAGACGAAAATAAAAATAGGCACAAAGTCAAGGACGAAAACATGCCGAAAAAAAAAAAAAAAAAAAAAGGATAATCTGTGAAAAGATTGGCAAGCATACCAATGTCACAGGATAACGTAGCAACTCCAAAGCATCTTCCAGTGAAATACCATCCACATCCTTTATCTAAATAAAAGAACGATAATATCCAATTTTGTTATTAAGATTCATCCATTCAAATTGAAGGACTAGCAGAACACTCACATATGTTATGCAAAGACGGAAAAAAAAGGGTCACAAGATGTCAAGGAAAACATGCCAAACAATCAATGACTTGACTTGCTTCTGGAAGCAATATAGCAGATGAATCTCTAAATTTTCTATCTATAATAAAGGAAAAACCTAGACTGGACGCAAAGGATTTATGTTAGCAGAAACTTTTACATACATGAGAAACCGAGGCTCTTTTTGGCGTGTAACCCTTACTGTCTTCACCAAGCTGTACATAGAATCCATAAGGACCATTCTTCAAGAGAACCTGAAGAGGAAGTTGGTTTCTTCAAAAAATAACTCGATAGTATCAAACGGAATTGAGATCCATAATTCCATAAACTAGCAAATAAAAGGACTTAGATTCACACAAAACCTTTTCATTAGAAACTGGGTGAACGCCAAGCAACTTCGGTTCCTCCACAGCATTGTTTCGAGGAGTTTCTTCTTCTTCTTCTTCATCACCATATATTGTCTTGGCAATATACCTACACATTTATACAAAAAAAATACTTGAATGATAACATGATAAACTTTGCCACATGCAGGAAGATCTATATTTCAGCCAAAATTTTTCTTTAGCCACCGATTAGCACTGACATAAGCATAAAAGAATTACATCTTATTTCCATAAGACACAAGCATGTAGATAAATATATCAAGGGAAATAACAAAAGTTTAGATTAATATCGTGCTGTTCCATACTCACTTGCACTTTGGGTGTTGATCACAACCTATAAAGTAGCCTGCACCATACCGACTTACTTTGAAGATCAAAGCGCCTTCCAGACAGCTGAAACAAGTATAAACAGAGATTTTACTTAAATTATTTCTTTTTACAGTATACATAATAGGAAACAGAACTTTAGACAAAAACAAGTTACGGAAAAAAAAGTTTGGCATGTGGAACAAAAGGCCAAGGCAAAGCTCTTAACTAAAATAAAGTGCAACTGCATACAGATTTCTAGCCTAATATCCATCACTTGGTGCAAGAATTCTAAATTCCAAGACTTAAACTAAATCACTCCTCCAAAAAGGTCCCAATCCTTTTATCCCACATCCTGGGAATGAATATCAGGTAGATCTGCCAATAAAATATAAACCAATTATGGTTCTGGCAAAACGTTAGCTCACGAAAGATTTTTAAGAGGCGTCTGAGTTGCCAAAAAATTAGTTACTGTTGGTTTTAGTGCTAACAATGTTGACAGAGACCAAGAGGTTTCCCTTCATTTCACAAGTCATGGAATAAAAAGTAAGATTATATGATAAGTATGGAAAATCTGCATGCATAATCTTGTTCTGTTAAATTGCAGATTGTTTGACAAAATTACCATGTGTCTGTTCATTCTTTATACTCCTTCAACTTCAAGCAAAATTTTAAGGAAATTTAAATGGAAAATATATGAAATCCCTCTCGTTTTTTTTTTCTTTGTTTTTGTTTGAATTATGCTTATAGCATGGGGCATTCACATTCACCAAGTAGTATAAGGAATTCAAGCTTTAAAAGCTTCATTACCAATTATGAACTACCTAGGGCCTCAAAAATTAAAATTTCTCAACAATCTAGCAAAGTGTGCAGATTACAATATAACATCTTCATAGTAAATGCACTTTTGTTGTGAGTCATGTGTAAAGGGGCAATGGATACTACCTAGGACATGTCTTTTTGTCATCAGGGAGTGAACCAAACAAAAAATCCCCAAATGTCTTCCCGAGCATCTTTTCCACCTGCAAGCAAATTTAAACTAAGAATAATAACTAAATTTCCTGAGTACTACCAGAAAAAAGCTTAAAATTCTAAAGCGAAACCATCCTTGAAACTTTTAATAAACAACTGAACCATACCTGATGGATATGGACACTTTCAGCACGACTGCAATATGACCTAAATCGTGTCCAGTAATCTCTGAGAAGGCCTTTCCATTCAGTTAAGCCAGCAGAGACATTATCAAGCTGCAAATAGATTTAAAAACAAGAAATCAATAGTCATGCAGAAGAAAAAGAAGGGAAAGCATAAAAATTTAGAACACAGTAAAAACTAACAAAAACAAGCATAAGTGAAAAATCAGAGGCCTGGAAGATGATTGGGATGAAGTGTTGAAGCGTTGTCAAGTTCCATGAATAGCAACAACTAAGCCTTAATCCCAAAGTAGTTGCGGTCGGCTATATAAATCCTTTCTTTCCATATCCACTATATTCAATTAAGCAATTAAAGCAAGGTAGAAAATTGAAAAAAATTCTAAATATTTTTGTGCAAAAATTTCTTTGTATCATTTGCTATGTTAGTAAGGCAACAACAACTATGCCTTAAACTAGTTAGGGTCTGTTGTATCAATCTTTTGTCTCCGTTCTCGACAATTCCCTTCACGTCAAGTCCATGAATGTGGGGATTTTACAATTTGATCAATCTGTTGCACTAAACCTAAGAATGTGGTGCAATTAATGTTAGACAGTTGTAGCTATTAACCTTGTGTAGAGAGAGACAAGCATACAAGTGCACACTCGAGCAGAATAAGAAAATCATGGTTACTGATAAAGGAAGCAAAAACTCTGCTAGGCTATTTCAATTTTCAAACCATGACTAGCCTTTTGAACAAGACAAACAAACTATTCAATGTAAGCAGAAGAAATCACCTCAGTCTCCATATCAGCAGTAAAGCTGTAGTCTGCAACCTCAGTAAAATGGTGAGAGAGAAATGCTGACACCTGTAATCAATAAAAACAAATGCTATTAAAAGAGTTTGACCACATTGTTGACTTGACTCAATATGCAGAATAAATTGACCAGCAATTACACAATTGTAAGCTCAGATCAAATGTCAATGCTAATTTCAGATGGTAAGCTACTTGAAATGTCAGTGAATACAAGATAGTTCAGGATGACAACATACCATGCGACCACGAAATTCTGGATGCAACACCCGGCTTTTTACTGTCACATACTTCCTATCCTGATGCCACAAACAAGAGTATGTCAGTATAGGGCTACATCAAATACAAAAATTTAATAAGACTTTTGATATAATTTCTAAGAGCAGATGCATGCGTTGAAAAATTGAAATAGATACACAATGAGCAAAGCCCGACAGGTCATGATCGCTATTTTCTTGCAAACTAAATACAGATTCAAGTCATGGATGATACAAAAAAGAAAAAGTCATGTAATACTTCTTTAACACAAATCATCTTAACATAGTTGTTAGGCCTAGAAAAATGTTGCCATCAAAATAGGAACCATCATCCAACCTCATGAAAGTCCTTATTCTTTCCCCAATCTGCTACAAGTCCAAAAATCATCTAGTATTTTATGTTGCAATCAATGAATTTACTTCTCTAGTTTCATAGCTTACTGCACCACTTGATTACCTTGTCAACAGCCTTGGAACAATATCTTTCCTAAGATGTTGTCCCTCTATCATCAATAAACCCTCTACAGAGGATGTCACTGACATTATGCTCTTTTGAATGCCATGATAGAACTGTTAAATTTGCAAGTTCCTATGCGTATAACCAAGAATGAAGGCTGAAAGGAATAACTAGCACACATCATTACCTGTAAAACTTTCAAAGTGCTCGCATAAGTTGAAGGCCTTCCAATGCCAAGTTCTTCCATCTTCTTAACCTATTACATGTTAAATCACAAAGGTAAGAGGGCGAGGAACAAAGGCTTAACCAAGATGTCAGAAGTTGCTGATCTCCTAGGCACATATGTATAATACATGAAAATGAAGAAAGTAAATAGAATTATAACATCGTCTTCAGACAAAAATTTGTAGGACCACATTCGCATATTGCAATTTACTATAGTCCCGAATATTTACCCCAACCAAAACACACGCACAAAAGCACGTGCACATCAAGATAAATCCACTTGACTTTGTTGGGGCACATATATTTCTATAGAGAACAATACAACAGAACTTTTACACTTAAGTTTTGATGTTCATGTATACCTGTACCCAGTTATATATGGCTATCTGAAGTGTAAGAGCACATCTCTTCACTCAAGCCACAAATCAGATACAGGTATGACACTGAATTAAGATAAACTTTTCTCTAAACTTGTTTTAGGAGGACAATTTTTCTGTAAATGCTTCTGCTATTTAAAGAAGACAATATTATACCAATGATCCTTCAGAGTAGCGTGGAGGAGCCTGGGTAAAGTGCTGCTCAAGTTTGACTTCACCAAGATTCAAAAGTTCCCCTGGCTATAAACATGTAAGTTAGATAAGGTATTCTCTACGACAATCTTCGAGAGATTTCAATATTGAACAACAAAAATCAAGGGGCTGTATTATAAAATTTGAAAACAACAAAAAAATAAACCTGAAATGTAGATAGTTTGGATGAGTTTCAGAGGATTAATCAAAAGAGTTGGTAGTATAATCTCACTCAATTTGTTAAATTATTTATTGTAACATAAACAATAAATACCACAAGCAAGAATCACCACCTTCAGTGACTTGAGAATTGCAAAGGTTTCTTGACGTTCATACACTGCGCTTTCCTTGTGTCTTGGTGCTCCAGCCTCAATATCCTATAAACAAATATCATCATGCTAATGTCACATCAAACTAATCTGTAACTAGTGGCATGAAATTCAGCTTACAGAGAAACAGGAAAAATTAAGCCATTTAGACAGACTAATATGATGAAATATTATTATACCTCATAAACTGCCTGATAGCCAAGAAACCCAACTCTTGAGCATGCAGCTCTGAGAGTAATTGACCCATCAGCATTACTAATGTCAACTTGAATCTGGTTATATCATAAGAGTGTTATCCAAATTGTAGGTGACAGCAATTCCAGTCTAACACACAGCAAATATAAGAAAATTTAAAGGACAAACAAAATAGTAGACATTTTTGCCTGGCTGCACATATTTTCACCTACAACCCCTCCCATCAAGAAAGGTGCTCACCTGCACTGCTATTGTTATTGGACCTAAAGTGAACATCAAGCAATGATTTAATTCATTCAGCATCTATGGATGATACATACCTATACCATTGCCACTTGTGTAACCTTCATTCATTATGCAAACCCTAAATAATAATTCCTCAAAAAAAGAAGAAGAAAAGAGAGAAGAAAAAAAAAAAAAAAGAAAGAAAAAGAAATACTAAATAACCATTTTTCATGGTTAGAAGCCACCACGTAGTGATAACTGAGGCACTAAACTCACAAGAAACAGAACTAAGAAATAACATTGAACAATGCACGTGATTCATCTTTTCCTTACAAGTACATCCATATGTATAAATCCTCAACCTGCTATCGATCAAACCATGAAATCCTTAGTCCCTACAATCATAGACATAATATAAACTAGTAAAAAGAATATTGTTCCGCTTAACCACATAAAATTTCGACATCAAATGAACCACAATGGTTGATTTGAATATGTGCAAAATCCAAGTCTGGAACAAAGCTAATGAACCACTAATATAAAGCTTCAATGTACAGAGGAAGTCTGATCAATCCTCAATTAGGAAAACCCCACTATAATGTTAGTCCTACAAGGAAATAATACTGTACCCTATTTCTACCATATAAATTAAGAAAACCTAATTCTTACTTCTAGCTACAGTGGAACAATATTAGTTCATCAAATACAAATCAAGGTGTCTTGACATTAAGAAGTAATACAAAGAGACATGCTATGGAGTTTTTTGAGTTATTCAGGGACTGCAGTTTTCTTTTACGGCCCCAAGACATCGCATTAATGTTGGGAGAAAAACATATTATGTGCATTGACAAAAATGAGACGATAAGAAATTCTTTTTTCCTAAGAAAGCGATGTAGAGTTCACATAAAGCAGCATTAGTAAGAAGAAGAAAAAAAACAAAGCTACTCATTCCAAGTAATAACTTAAAGAAGTATTTAACAGACCAATGTCCTAAAAGATTTACATTCTAACCTGCTCGGTGGTACTAGGTTCCATTTGGCACGCCACTGTTCGAGACCAAATAAGAGTGTATAACTTCAAGGAATCTTCATCAAGTACATTCACAAGCATTGCTACAAGGCATTAAGCACTCCTTTTATTTGGTTATGACAGTTGGCAATTAAAAATGACAAAACTTTATTGCAAGTTTATATTAGAAAAGATCATGATCATTGCAGAATTTGTGATTTACATGGTAATATCTGAATATTGGTGGGTCGAATTGCTTCATGGGCCTCTTGAGCATTCTTCACCTTTTTAAAATATTTTCGTTGGCTCCCAGATGCAAAATCTTGGCCATACCTGTAAAGAAGTATTTGTTGATTGTCAGCACAGAATGAAAAAATAACATAAAAGTAAAACCCCAGAAAAGATGAACATGGAAACAAAATTAACAAAAAGACAACCCTTTCGTTTTTTCTTCAAAGTAATGAAGCGGAAATGACAATAACAATAATAGAACTCCAAACAAAGTTAATATAGTAATAAATTAGGACCTCCTAAAGCACTTAAACAAATAGTCCAGTTAAGTGAAAATTCCAATATGATAATAAGGAAAAATCAAAACAATATTGAAAATCAGAATAAGAAAGTTGCAGAACCTATGTCTGTCACCTTTCAATCACCAAAGAACGTATTTCCCTAACAGCTTCATCAGAAATCTGAGAGAAAACCAAGCAAGGGTATTAGAGGAAACAAAAATTTAACACTTAATACTAATATTGGAAGAACAAAATACAACATTGAATATTGATCAAAGCCTACTCCAACATAGGCAGGCTTCTGATGTATACTTATTTGAGGTCTGTCCATAATGTAAAAATGTATTTATTATTATTATTTATTCATTATTATTATTATTATTAATTAGTATTCTTATTACTATTTAAAAATGTAAAAACAAGAGTTCATAGCAATACAATGTCAAACACGTCTGCCCGCCATCAAGGCCTTGTAGACCACAACAAATCTCACCATGTGAGGCTAAACAGATTATATCCATACAGCTACAGTGATACTCACATGTAGTCCATCTGTTCTGATGTATGTTATCAGACCTGTTGCCTTTCCATCAGATAACTGAACCCCTTCATAAAGTTTTTGTGCAAGCTGCACCCACAAGCATAAGTATAAGAGAAATAATAAAGATTGGAAACAAGGAAAGCATTAAAGGTAAAATAAGAGGCAAAGGGAGTTTAAAGTTCACTATGAGGTCAAGCAGCTAGTTAGATTAGAACAACAAGAACATAGGTTGCCCATCAGTCAGTTCTTCGGAGCTTTTGACAAGAGAGAAAAGCCAATGTTTCTTGCTTATGCACAAATTGATTTGCAAGTCAAACCAAGACCACCCTATAAATTCAAGCAGAATATGCCATAACCCAATTGTGCACATAGATCAATGATATTCTAGATTGCAGACCAAGAGGATTCGCACAATAAAAAACAATGGCAATGAAGCAGCATTAATGTAGGTAAAATGCAATTACCATATCTATTAATAGAGTACCGAAAGGATTAGGCTTAATCCTAATAGCAGGTATGCTCTGTTATAAATACTAGCTGATGGAAGAAATTATGCTCTGGGCAGCCAAACAAAAATAAGTGCACCCAATAACACACAAAATCAGCTAAAAAAAAGGTGTGGACATGTAAGCATTTAAGGAAAGTGATGCCAATACAAATTAAGGAATGAAATGCATAAATGCTCTGAAACCTTCATTGTGTACATTGAAGGGAAATGTAATTTGTTTGCTGCATCCTGCTGAAGTGTTGACGTTATGTAAGGTGTAGGAGGATTTCTTCTAATTTTGCTTTCCTTAGCACCAGCAACTTGAAAACTTGCAAAATTTATCTTCTGTTCAATATCTTTTGCCTCTGTATGAGAACTAATTGAATGTTGGTTCAACTTTTTAGAGTCAAAATGCGTCAGGTGAGTATTCACCAAAGAGTTCGTATCTTTTGTGCAGAATTCACCCTCAATACTCCAATACTCTTGTGGCTTAAATTCGTCAATTTCCATTTCCCTGTCACATATAAGAGATAATGCAGCAGATTGAACACGCCCAGCTGATTGGCAACCTGGTAATTTCCTCCATAATAATGGTGAAATATTGAATCCAATTAAATAATCAATAGCACGCCGTGCAAGGTAAGCGTTGACCAAATTCAAATCAATTTCTCTTGGAGCTTGCAAAGCATTTTTAACGGACTCCTCAGTTATTTCATGAAAGACAACTCTTGCCACAGAAATCCCTTGACGTAAAGCATCTTGTTGTTGCAACATCTCAATAATATGCCAAGCAATTGCCTCTCCTTCACGATCAGGATCTGATGCAAGTATGAGATTTTCTGCTCTGATGAGCAATGCAGAAGGACAAGAACTTAGAAACATATAACAAAGAGTAATGCAAGAAGTCACATTATATTAGCTGCAAAAGGCACATTTCCATAAAGTAATGTGACGGTTTGAAAGACATAAATAAGCACACAGATTCTAAGTGCAAATTGCACCTTAGCATTGCCAATTAAGAAAAACACAAGTAGAAGACCATACCCAGATAGTGCAACCTTGATGCTCTTAAGGTGAGTCCAGGCGGCAGAAGGAACCTCCCATACCATACTAAAGTCATCATCAGGCCGCACAGATCCAGACCTTGCAGCCAAGTCCCTCACATGACCATAGCTAGGCAAAACTTCAAACATGTCTCCAAGGTAACCCTGAATGACCTTTGCCTTTGTAACGGACTCAACCACCAGGACAGATTTTCCAATAGGAGGATAAAATTGCTTTGGCGTCCCTTGTGTCAAAGGATTCAGTTTGCCCACTATTTGAGGCTTTTGTTTCCCTGCTGATTCACTAATTGTTTTCAAAGATTTGCCCTTTCCATTAGGGTTTCTACTTTTCTTGTTGGACTGCTTTTTTGCTGAAGCAGAATCACCAAACAATTGCTTGGACTTCTTCACAGTTAATTTCTTCTTTTTAAAAAAAAAAAAAAAAAAAATTGAAGTGTTAGTTAAAGTGCTGCGTCAATAAAGAACTAAATCCTGATTCTTCAACAAGTAAATAGCAGCAAACCTCTAATTCTTCTGTGGGACTTTTTGCTTCAGAAGATTCTGTATCTGAGGCAATGATGCTAGAAGGTTGCTTCTTTGCAGTTTTGGTTCTTGTTTGCTTCTTCTTTCTTCCACTCACTTTGGAGTTTGGGTTATTATTGCTCACAGGGGATGTTGAAACGCAGGATCCCAACTTCACATCTCCAACCTTCCCTTCAGTGGATGTCATGGCATTGACCTCATTGGAGGCTGAAATACCAGAACTAGAAGTAGCTCTCTTATTGACATGGGCATTCAACTGCTTCCGATGTTGATCAACGCCACCAAAATTTTTATTCTGTTTCTTTACCCTCGAGACTTGAGAAAAATGACGCTTGGCAAAAGCTACATAATCATGTGAGCTACGAGCGTTAACCATGTTCAAAGACCAAGAACTTATGCTATTCAAAGGAGAAGCAGGGCGAATAAAACATCCAGGTATTAAAGAGGAGTGAACATCAGTAATACTCCTAGGCCCATCAACAAGGCATTGTGGAATCTTCGAACGGTTGCTAGAGATCATGGATGACACCATGGGTTTCTTTAATCGAAGCTGAGAACATTGTCTGTATATATGGAAAGAACCAAATTGTGAAGGAGAAGGCAAGTGAAAGGCTGAATAATCCTGAGGTGCCCGGCACTGCAACTGTAAAAACCAAGGCATGAATTTAAGCAAATAAATGAATAAAAGGAAGAAGATAAATTTTGTAACATAGTGTTTTTTTGTACACAACAATATCCATTACTATAAAGTAGATTTTATAAAGAATTTCCAATGGGAGTAATTTAAGACAAACTAAGGCAACTACAAAGTGCAATTATCGTATGCGCGTATGCTTTAGAAAGAAAGAGTAAAGGCACCTTGGCCATGAAGGGTCGAAGATACGCAGCTGAACAAGAAGAAGTTTCACGGAAGAAGGAAGATGGACATGTGGAAACGAATAGAAAGCCCCTTTGCGTTTGACTCATCGCATCTCTTCACTTGCTTCCAATGGAGAGGGTTTGCAGGCGGTGGTAACAGAGGAGCAGCGAGAGGTTTAGCAGACGAGGTTTCTGAGGTTTTTTATTATTTGTTACTCCCAACTGTGGAGTGCGAGTTAAAAGGGGTCGTTTCTGGTGGATAGTAGGACCAATAGGCCCAACCAAAACCTAACCCAAGCTCAATAATGGACTGAAATCTAAAATTTAAAAAGAAAAAAAAAAAAGGTAAAATAATACTCACCCGAAACGCCGCCGTTGGAATCTCAAAAACACTCCGACGGCGTGCTTTTGCTATTTTCTCCAGCCGTGTAGAACCAATGGTTCTTCTCATTCATCATCTTTCAAAAGACACAGCGCTTAATAAAACCACCAGCCATCTGCTTTACCCCTCGGATTAGTTGGCTTTCAACCGATTAAAGAAGAAGAAGAAGGAGAAGAATCCTTTACCGCCAGCATAGCAGGCTACTCTCGCCTCTAATTCCATCTGAGGTTAGGACACTTTGTTATTTCTCCTTTTCTGTTAGCACGATGAATTTTTATTTTTTTAGATTTAAGCAGGAGCTTAAGATTGCATTAATTGTTTCTGTTGATTTCCACTTTTTAAGCTTTATATTCCATTTAAAGTACAGTGCAATCCCTATGGTCCTTCACAAATTTAGCCAAAATCATAGCTTTATGAATTCTGAATCGTATATTATTTTTGTTTTTTTTTATTATCTGTAAATACTTGGATTACATATTCTGGGACTTCTATAAAATCTCTCTCAGTATGTGAGCATGCTAATCTGATTTACCAACCGGTTTCTCTTAATCAATAGCGCAAGGAAACTCTTTCTTTAGCTCCTCTTCTCTGACTCTGTCTTTCTTTTTGTATTAAGATATGCAGTGTTCAAATTTCTCTTAGCATTTCAGAAAAAAGATGCTTGCATAATTGAAATTACTTCAAGGACTCTTTCTGTTCATTTTATCCCATTACTGCCGTTTAGGTTTTGCAAATATCAGGAAACAGTCAAATTGAAACCTTCAAATAGTTGGAAAATTGACTGTAATGTGTTTTTTTCCCTTTAACCTGTCTGCTATATTACACACGGGGTTTACCATGGAGTTAATATGAACTCTGAAACGGACATTGGTTTATGGTAATAATCTTATGATATTCGACAATTTATATTTGTGAAAAAATAACAAGAGTTGGATATCATTTTAGGTTGATGGACCGACAAGGCCATGATTATGCTGCAGCAGCGGCTTCTGCCATGGCATTTGCCCAGCAGCAGCAGCAGCAGCAGCGACAAACTGCCAATATGCCAACACAGCAGCAGCAGTTTGGATTTCATCCTCAACATCAACATCAGCAGTTTCCTCCACCTCCATTTATGTCTCCCCATACTTCCATGCAACAATTCGCTTACCCTCACCACTTGCAGCAGCAGCAGCAGCAACCTCAGCTTCATCCTCACCCTCCTCCACATCCTCACCTTCTTCATCAGCAGCATCCTCCCCCTCCTTTCCCGACCCATTTACCTCCTCATCTATATCCTTCTCCTTTCCACGGTACTTATGACTCAGCTCCAGCTCCAGCTCCAGCTCCTCCTCCATCTGATCCTGAGCTGCAAAAAGTTATTGACAAACTTGTTGAGTATGCCACCAAAAATGGCCCTGAGTTTGAAGTCATGATCCGCGAAAAGCAAAAGGATAATCCTGCTTACAGTTTCCTCTTTGGGGGTGAGGGCCACAACTACTATCGATACAAGCTATGGCTATCAACACATCCCCCAGGTGGGCCCTTCAACCCTCCTTTTCCACCTTCTTCCATGTCAGTTATGCATCCTTCGCCAAACCCAATGATGAATCCTGCTGTTGGACCCTCGAACTCAATGGTTGGTGCTCCTCCAATGCACCAGCCTCCTTTTCCTCCTTTTTATGACCCACAGCAGCATCACCATCAGCACTCACAGCCTTTTGGTTCTGTTGGTCGACTAGATTTTGATTCGTCAACCAATTCCTTCAAAGGTCTCTCTGGTCCACTTCCTCCCGACGTTGCGATGGAGCTGAGAAATGTGCTTAACAGTCTTAATGGAACCAAGGAATCTATTAAAGGTGCCAAAACTTGGTTCATGCAGCGGTCCCCATTTGCACTGGCTCTGGCTGAAGCACTAAGGGACAGAGTTTTTGCTCTAGACGATCCTGAGAGGCAACTGCATATTATTTATCTTGCTAATGACATCCTTTTTGACAGGTAATTTCTAGGACTGCATTAACTGCTCTATTTGTATATGAAAGCCCAATTGCTCCTTAAACTAAATTATGCTTACTGTCAGCTTCAGTGATTTTGAATCATTTTTTTTCCCCTTTTCCTTTTCCTTTTCTTGTCTCTTAGGACAGATGTCTTCCTCACAAGGTTTCATCATTCTCATAATAGATTCAGCTTGTCTTTTCATTGGTTTATTGTTGTGCATGAATATATTTTTTTACTGTAGGAATTTTTAGGTTATGTTTGTGCAGTACTGTAACCTTCTGTAAGGAACCTCCAATCTATTTTACATCAAGTTTATGGGGAAATTTCCTTGCCTAACCAGAAGCCAAATTCTGATAGGTTTTTGGGGTTCAATCAAGGTTACCCCTGCTGGGTTTTTCTGGTAGGAATAAAACGGTAATGTGAGAATTTCCTCATTATGAAAATTGGTTGGGAGCAAATGCACTTATCCTGAATGTAAAACATAATAGTACATAGGGAAGCACCACAGTACCATACTAATACTAAAGTAATAAAAATAACCTAAAAAATTTTCAATAACTTTGAGTATAGATTTCAGTTGATATTTCCATTGCTGTGCTAATTATTACAGTACTATTAGTAATCCTTAAAGTCCTTAAATTTTGTGGCATCATATCTAAAGTTATGAGGAAAAAGATATTTGCTTCCTTTTCCCAAGGCTGTTGACATGTTACTTTCTAAATTGCTAATGATGCATGATCTGTATTATGCAAGCCATATCACAAATTGCCATGCACGTTGTGGTTTCTGGCTACACTTCCATCAATTAGATGAAGGTGAGACAACAGCATTGTTCTTCTTGTTCCTGAGTTAGTTTCCCTTCTACTTTTACCTTTTGTCTGAATTATATACTTGCATATCATCATCCTTTGTTTGTCGCAATCTTGAACCTAATTATTAGATTAGCATCAAGATGCAATTAGAGAGATGAAAGGAAGAAGGTAGTTTTTATCTGTTTAGGATGAGTCTAGCAAGAATTCTTGCTGTTTAAACACCTGTAGATTTCACCTTTTTCTTTTTTTTTTTTTTTTGGCCTTTCTTGCATTTGGCTTCTGGCGTTTGATTTGTCAATTTCTGTAACATGCATTGTGTATATTGACAAGCATGCAGTTTCATTATGAGTCTTCCATAACCTAGTCATCTTTGCTATTCATATCCTGCAGTTTGCAGAGGAGGCTTAACCCACATGACCTTGATAATGAGGCCCTTGCATTTAAGCCAATTCTGGGTTCCATGCTTGCAAGAGTGTATCACAACCCTCAAAATAAAGATGACAATCAGCCACGGTTACAGAAGATTCTTCAGTTCTGGGGTACCAAGGAGGTTTATGATCAAGATACTATTTATGCACTTGAAGGCGAGATGCTTGGTGGACCACCTGCAAATTCCTTTTCAGGGCCCCCAAAAGAACTATCCACTGCTTCAATGGATTCCTCTGCTACTGCAGGTAGCTTCTTCCATTGTCCATTTAAATTATTGCTAGCCAATACTTGTTGCATGTACAACTGGCTATGGATTATATTTTCTTCTTAATTTTACTTAATTTTTTTTCCTGCAGGCTATACACAACAACCGATAAACCATGTCCCACAATGGCAGTCTGATAGGCAAAGTATACTAGATCAGGAGCATCCTGATAAACAAATGCCACTAGCCATGCCACCATCCCTAGGAAACCAGCAATTTATGGCGAATTCAGTTCCTGTGGGTGCTTTCCCAGGGTCCATGCCCATAAATTCTTCTGTTCAACCAGCTAATCAACAATCTGCACCACATTCATTACAAGCACCTCCCGCTAATGTTGGTGAAAAATTGCCTCCATATCCTTTGTTCCCACCTGGTCTTATTCCCGGAATGGTAAAAAAGATGCAGATCGGGAGTGGGGTGCCATACTCTCCTTTGAGTCCTTTGGACATCCCAACAGTTATACCTCCATCCAGTGTATCCCCGACTGAAATTCAAGATAGAGTGTCAAAATTCTTTAAAGAGATTGGAGAGGTTAATCCATTTGAGGGATCAATAAAGTCCCATTCAAAAGATGAAGATGATGAGTATGAGAGAGATCCTCCCGTTCGCAAAGGAGGAGCTTGCATTCCTCCACCTCCTAACTTACAGGTTGACCCAGAGACTGGGGCTTATGCTGATGGAAGTGTGGAGCGAAAACCAGGATGCACTGGCTCAGGAAGATTGGGGCTTGGGGCCACAGCTGACCCCAACGAGGCAAGTCAATATGATGATGTTTACACATCTTATAGGAAACAGCGAAGCACCACCTACCATTCATCCATGAGTGCAAGAGCATCTACAAAGTAAAATATCTGATTTCTCACCAAATAGTTGTCAAATGGAAAAATTAGTACCAGAGAAACTGCTTTCCGCCCATTAATTGAACTTTCAGAAATTCTGCAAATTGCAACTTGGATTTGTACAAGTGGCCAACTTTATTTAATTTGTATAATTACATTATGGATTTACAAGTTTTGATTAGGGTCATATATTTGGAACTTTGGACACCCAGGGACTGCTATATGTAGTGTCGAAAACTCAAGGTAATTAGTGTGGAGTTCCTTCTGATCTATCTATTGCCCTGGACCTCTATCTACTTGATGGCGCAGCAACAGACTTTTATAGTAACTATTACAAATGAAAATCGGATCATTTCATTTGAAAATAAATTTCTTTTAAGGAAAGACATAGTTATGAATAAATTTTGTGTATTAATCTCAAAATCCATTTAGAATATACAGTTTCAAAAAGTAAATAGTTAATACATCAGGGATTGAATGCCGCTAGTTAACTCTGTGTTGCAACTTGCAAGTTAAGCGGTCTTTTACTTGGTACTAGTCTTTTTTGAACGTGTCATTGCATATCTTTTATATTTGTTCTTCGTTTGGTGATTTAATTTTTCCATTTAGAATATACAAGCTCAAATAGTAAATAGTTCATACATTAGGGATTGGATGCCACTAGTTATTGCAACTTGCAAGTTAGGCGCTCTTTTACTTTGGTATTAGTCTTTTTTGAACGTATCGTTGCACATTATTTATATTTGTTCTTCGTACTAGTGATTTGATTTTTATACAGTTTTTTTTTTATGTATAATTTCATATAGTTGAGTTAAAATATTTGTAATTCTTTGCTTTGATTTGTTTTTATTATTTTGTTTTACTAATCTAATTCATTATTTATATTTTGTTTTATTAAATTTTCTAATTAAGCTTAAATACTAATTTTTTTATTATAATAGTAATAAATTACTAAAGAAGTATTCTTGTTTTTTTTTATTAGGACTTTTCAATTGAATTAAAATATTTCTCATTTACTTGGTTCGGAAAAGTACTATAATTACTCATAAATTATGACTTACATATATATAGAATTTAAGTTCAAACCTTTAGCGCCGATTTTAATAACACGATAATTAAGCAACTTATAAATATAAATATAGAATTTAAGTTCTTATTTATTTTACATTTATTGCTAAAAAAATTATAAAAAATAATTTAAGAGTCCATTTTTCTCCCTCACCCCCAGCTAATTTAACGAAAACACGAAATCTAAGACCATCGCCCCTCAGATGCCATACTCTCCTCTGCCCTAGCTGCAGCCAACAGAACACTGCTTCAAAAAAAAATCCATTTTCTAAAAAAAAAAGGCAAATATTAATCTGTACACATTCTGTTATAGGAAAACAAGAACAATCAACAACAATGAGACAGCAGGTCCCATATATTTAGCTACAGAGATAAGGAAGAAAAATTAATGTTTCCACAGCTACTTGGAACTAGAAAATTTGCTTCGATATCGCTACTCCATTACAACTTAGAACCCAAAAACCAAAAGCAAGCAGTCTAATGGTTAACTTCACTCTATCTTAAAAAGGAAGGACCAAATAAGAAAAGAAAAGGGAAACTAATACATACACAAACATATAAGTTCATAATGCGGACATTTTACATTTCACTTCTTGTTTGTATCATCTTTACCATATGTTTTTCACTCATGTATTCTGGATCAGTCAACTGTCATGGGTTGGGTCATGCAGCATCTGAAGCGTGCCTTGCGCACAGTAGTCATAATCTCAGTTTCAGCATTCTCAAGCATCCTGACAATCTCAGTGAAAGGAGGACGCACTTCAGGGTTGGTGTCCCAGCAGCGAGTCATGATCTCACTGAGTACAGGGAGACAATCATTTGGGATAACTGGTCTTACACCCTTGTTCACCACAGCAAATGCAGCTTGCACTGCTGTCATGTTCTGGAAGGGAAGCATACCTGTTATAAGCTCCCAAAGCACAATTCCAAAACTATAGACATCCACCTTTTGCGTATAGGGCCGATGCTGAATCATCTCTCTGCATGAAATGGCAAGGTAAACATAAAAAGAGAATGGTTACAATACAGTCTACACATGCTAAATGGACCGACCATTAATATCCAAATCAACATGATGCCCAAGCTGCCAATATGATGAGCTACCAACGGGAAATATACAACAAAAGAAAAACTCCAATAAAAATAAAGGAAAAATTATCAAGTAAAAAATAGCAGATCAGAAAAGGAACAAGCAAGCATAAAATAAAACTAGCACTTTGCGGATACAGTAGTAATCTCCAAAATCAGCTTACATCTTTTGATTCCTAAAGCAGATTCTATCCGCACAAAAATCATATAGATAATACGAAGAACCAGCAATAATGAAGAACACAGAAGGCTGCATGGCTAAAGCTTTAGATTGATTGATGGAAGCAAAGCAGCCCAACAATGTAATGTCCACACTAAAACATTTACAAGGCTGAGCATCACATACAAAAACTCTGGTTTCTGAGAAACCATGACTACAATTTTAGCTAGTCTCCAAACATGGAAACAACAATCTGCAGGCGAATTAGTCCTTGCCAGTCCATCAAATCATGGATGCAACAATTATTTTCTGGCATCCTAAGAAGCTAAAGCAACCATTATTTCTTACTTCCAAAATCATCAATTTCTAATTGGTTGGGACAGGGGTAAATGTACAGAACCTACAACAGCCAGCTGATCATTATCCTTGATGCGTCTTCTTCTTCCTAAATTCTATACTCCACACAATAGATTTTATTACAATCACTAAAAAACATGCCACGAAAATAAGAGCAATTTGTAACCCATGTTTTATGAGAACCTGCTGCATCTAAGGTAACCTCGGAACCCAAAACCCATTATCGCCAATATCCTGATGGTAATGGTTGTCTCAATTCTGTTTAAAAAGAAAAGCTTATGGTTTCTTGCAGCAACAATTGAGTCGCTCTACAATGGTGGAGTTTGAATTGGAATCCACGGTGAATGTGGCGGCCATAAGTAGAAAATGTTTTTGCATTTAATGGGAAGTTTGGAGACATAGGAAGAATAAGAAGAAGTAGTATAATTTCTTGTTCATAATGGATTCAAGATTAATGGTGCATTCTTCTACCAAGATTTCGAGTTAATTTAGGATTTTAATTTAGTTACTCTTATTTTGCTTTAAAGACTCGAGATTTAGAACTTTTTGATAAGAAATTTCTAATTTAGTTTCAGTTGTGATGTTGTTTACATTACTCTTTAATTTCTAGATTCAGTTTCCACTTTTTTTGATTTATTTCCAACTGTGTTCCTATTGAATTACACTTTTTCTACTTTAAAGATTCAAGATTAGGTCAGCAATGGATCCCGGTTGTGTTTTGATTTCCACTATGTTTCGATTTCGATATCCATTATGTTTTGATATATTGGATCATATTGATCCTATGTGATTCGAGAATTTGGGGTTTGATTTGTTTTTTTTTTTTTTCTTGTTATTAGATCTTTGATTGAAAGGTGGTGGCCGCCTTGAAGGAGGTGGAGGTTGGTATCATAATTAGCAATTGGAGTGAGAGGGGGGATGTTAGAAAAGGCACAGAGGGGATTTCTTCATTCACAAGGCATTTATCGGAGTACAAAAAAAAATAGATGGAAGAACTACTAGTCTATCGGCATCAAACATTAGGGATAAACTAATCGATTATTAAAAAGACAAGGATGAAGAAATTAATTTTGGCAAATACTGAGATAAAATAGTTATTTTCCCTTTTAAAGATCACATTTGTCTGACAATGATGAACAGTCGCCCACAAATAAGTCGCACTCCAAAAAACAAATCCCTGCATCAGATCTTTTCAAGTGGTAGTAATTTGTCAAACAGGTAGGGGAAAAAATGGGAGGACTGGGAGAGTAGATAAAAGAAACAAGCGAACATTGTTCGAGTAATGCCAAGGCATTTCATTGTTTTCATTTTAGTTTATTAATCACAGGTGAGATAGTCGATGGAAGTCATTCAAAAGACTTGTGAAATCATTTACACATGTTAATTCCATTCATATGGTGAGAGTACTTGTACAATCGCAATGCTATTTTGCGGTTTGCATCAAAGTGTTTTACTTACAATATTGTAGTTTTATCTTTATTTTACCGCAACAGTTTGTAATTTGAAATCCTTGTTACTTCAATGCTTATTTGATAAAATGATGAAATTGTATTTAGATTGAAATTAAAGATTTATTTACACATCAATTGAATCCTACAGAAATATCCAAATTATGCAAATACTGAATAATTTCATTAATTTAATAGTCCAATAACTTAAATCTGTAAACGAAAAGTTGCAAAATTGAAATTTAAAAAAAAAAAAAAACAAAAGCAATGAAATGTAGTATCAGCATGGTAAATTCATAATTGGTCTTTATTACAGAATTCTGCTCCTATTAAAAAAATTTTAGAAATTAAAATTTAAAAAAAAAAAAAAAAAAAAAAAAAAGGTGTTTTACTGTACAATATTGTAGTTTTTTTCTTTTATATTTACCGCAACAAGTTTGGTAATTTGGTTGAAAATTCCTTGTTACTCAATGCTTATTGATAAATGATGAATTGTTATTTAGATTGAAATAAAGAATTATATTACACATCAAATTGAATCACATCAAGTATACCACAAATTAATGCAAATAAACTGAATAATTTCATTTAATTTCAATAGTTCCAACTAACTTAAATCTTGTAAAACGAAAAGTTGCAAAATTGAACATTTTAGAAAAAAACAAAAAAACAAAAAGCAATGAAATGAGTATCAGCATTGGTAAATTCATATTGGTCTTTATTACAGATTCTGCTCCTATTTAAAAAAAAATTTAGAAGATTAAAATATAAAAAAAAAAAAAAAAAAAAAAAGAAGGTTTTACGATTGGCAATAATAAACATGTGCGTTGAGCCTGTCAAATATGTAGATAAAATAAATTAAAGTGCTGGGTAGGGCTTCTCTAGATATGGCTTTTGGTTTCTGGCATTTTTGGGCCTTCATCAAAACACCAAAGAAAAGGAAGTGGTAGATAGTGCCAACAACCATTCAGGTTTTGGAAGTAAATAATAATGAATTAACTAACAGAAAGAATAACAAAGATAGTCCTTTAAGTTGAAAACAACAATATAAAAAGAAAACAAATAATAGGTAAACCAAGTGAACTTTCCAAGGAATCATTTCACTTGTGACATTTTCCATATTTGCATGACAAGTACAAAAAAATGATTGTGAGAGGTGGAGAAACAAAATTTTCCTTGTAAATCTATTAAACCGCGTTGATAAGCAGTTAAAAGAAAATAAACAGAAGTTATGGCAATGTGCATACATTCAAAATGACGGAATTAGACGGGCAAAAGCAAAGAAAAAAACATTGCATAGAAATATAAATTGGCAGCCAAAGGATTAACACTCGAAGAGAAGAACATACCAAAATTTACCAATTAAGCATTTTAGAGACTGACGGAGCCAATCCATCGGGTATGTTCCCGCTCTCTGGTGTTCATTCCCTCCCAGTCTTGCACTTCAATCCGTGCACAACGAAATCTGCAATTTTTTATTGATCTTATCATAGCTTGAAATCAAGAGGTTATTCACGACTTCTATCCCGGTGTATTAAACCAAGCCATGGACATTATTGCCAATTACCCCTTGCAACATCAAAATGCTGCTTAAACTGCCAATTTCTAGTGGCACTGCTCCTGATTCTGCCGCCGTGAGTCTCAGAAAAGACTGCCGAGCTGACCCTCCCTTTGCATTATTCAGTCACAATACACCAGACCATGGGCTTACGGCATGCACAATGATCTCACTATGTTGTGATGCTTTAGTGTTGCAAGTATCATGAACTTCTGCTGATACTGTGGCTGCCTCACTTCACTGGGAGCTTTCTCCAGAGCTATTTCCTGTCTCTCAGAAGCTATCTTTTATTGCAAACATCCTATCCATTATATGTCTCCTACCATAATATACACTTCCAATATTCAGCCTACTCCGTGTAGAGCAAAGCATTGTCCCACCATAAACAAGTGTTCAAAGATCAACTAGGTGCCATCATTGAGTTATTCTTTCTCAAATCCCTCGGTTGGTGGTATCCTATTATCCATCAATCTTGAGCTAGTGCATCATATTTAGTGCCATGTGGCGTGACCTTCCCTGGCGAACACACTCTGGCCCACAAGAGACACTTCACTTCATTCCCCACAATATAATTATTGGCGGACAGCTGTTTTAAACCTGGTGGCTTTAAAATGTGTGGTAGAGATCATTTGGACCCGTACCACTACTGTTGTCCCACTGACATTGAGGACGGACCCACCAGCATTGCTTAGTTGTAAACTGTTCAATGGGATATCATGTTTTTACCTTCGCAAGTTTTGGTAAAAGCCTTAAAAAAAAAAAAAAAAAAAAAAAGAAGGTACGATGGCAATAATAACAATTCTGAGCCTGTCAATTTAGATAAATAAATAAAGTTGCTGGGATAGGCTTCTCTAAGTATGGCTTTTTGGTTCTGGGCTTTTGGCCTTCACAAACCCAAAAGAAAAGTGAAGTGGTAGATAGTGCCACACCATTCAGTTTTGGAATAAATAATAATATTAACTAACAGAAAAGTAACAAGATAGTCCTTTAAGGAAAACAAACAATACTAAAAAGAAAACAAAAGGTAACAAGATGAACTTTCCAAGAATCTTTCATGTGAATTTTCCATATTTGCATGACAAGTACAAAAAAATGATGTGAGAGGTGGAAAAACAAATTTCCTTGTAAATCTATAACCGTTGATAAGCAGTAAAAAGAAAAAACAGAATATGGCAATGTGCATACATCAAAATGACGAATTAGACGGGCAAAGCAAATAAAAACATTGCATTAGAAATATAAATGGCAGCCAAAGATTAACACGAGAAAGAAACCAAAATTTACCAAAAGCATTTAGAGACTTACGGAGCCATCCATCGGTATGTTCCCGTTTCTGGTGTCATTCCCTCAGTCTGCACTTCAATCCGTGCCACACCGAAATCTGCAATTTTTATTGACTTATCAGCTGAAATCAGAAGGTTATCAGACTTCAAATCCCGGTGTATAAACCCAAGCCCATGGACATATGCCATTCCCCTTGCAACATCCAATGCCTGCTTAACTGCCAATTTCAGTGGCACTGCCCGATTCTGCCGCCTAGTCAGAAACTGCCGAGCTGACCCTCCCTTTGCATATTCAGTCACAATACACCAAACCATGGGCTTACGGCATGCACCAATGAATCGCACTATGTTGGGATGCTTTAGTGTTGCAAGCATCATGACTTCCTGCTGAAACTGCTGCTCCATCACTTGGGCTTTCTCCAGGCTATTCTCTGGTCTCTCCAGTATCTTTATTGCAACATCCTCTCCATTATATGTTCCTCTATATAACTTCCCAAAAGCACCTTGGGCAAAAGCTGTCCCCATAACAAGTTTTCTCAAATCAATAGTCCATTCATCATAATTCTCCAATCCCTCGGTTGGGTACCTATTATCCATCAATGCTTGAGCTAGTGCATCATCATTTAGTGCATGGGTGACCTTCCCTGGGCGAAACACACTCTGGCCCACAGAGACACTATAATTATGGCGGACAGGTTTTAAACCTGGGTGGCTTAAAATGTGGGTAAGAGAATCATTGGACCCGACACTACTGTTGTCCACTGACATTGAGACAGACCCACCAGCATTGCTTGTTTGTAAACTGTCAATGGACATGTTTGTACCCTCGCCAAGTTTTTGGTAAAAGCCTTGGGTGAAATCATAATAGTTATTATCATTGTCGTTATTTCCTCCTATAAGTCCAGTAAAATTTGGCCCTTCCACCATTTTCCCAATCATGAAAGAAGCTCCTCAAATAAAATGACAGATACACAGTCACTCTAATCTGAAACTGCTCAAGCACATTTGATGATGTCAAGTTTGTAGTGAATGTGCCCTACACCAACATATATGAAAAATTCTTAAATCAAATTAACATGAAATTACAAAGAACAATCATTAAGCTCCCTTGTGCTGCTTTTAGATATTTTATCGGCACAAGATCCCCTTGATCCTCTACTTGAATATTCAAATCATGGGATGTCAGAGAATGAAACAACAACAAAGATACTAAACTGCTTACAGCAATTAAGCCTATGATGATTACTGAGACTAGCAAATTTTAGAAGACAAACCAATGATTAAAATGAAGAGAATATCAACATGAAATTTAAATATACTCTGCTCAATGCATTGTTGAGAATCACAGAACTAGAAGATGAAGAAAATTCCACTGAATGCATTATTGGAATAGTTCACATCATCTTTGAAGTTTATAAGTATCCAAGGGAAGAGACATCATAAGCACATCGAAATGGTCATATAAGGCACTCATTAAAACAAGTAGTCAAACAAAAAAATAGAGTAAATTGGAATTTGGATGCAATACAGGATCAAACTATAATAGACTACAGAGATGCAATTATCTAGATTGCACAAGTTTTGTGCTCATTGGAAGTGCGTCGTCACCTATAGACTGTAATCAAACACATTCAACAAAACACTTTCAGAAATATCCAAAATTTTACAAAACCCTTGAACTAAAGCCGCACTGTCAACTCCTTGAACTAAAGCTCTTTAATAACATTAAAACAAAATTAAAATTTTATACAGTTGAACCCCTTTAATTTTCTCAACGAGAATCTAATAATAGAAGTATAAAAATTAAAATTCTCTACCACAAAAAAGGAAGGCAAAACAAAAATAGCTTTACAGCTACAGATTAGTACAAAAAAATAAATAAAAATCGAGATAAGAAAAAAATATAATAGGTAAATAAAACGAGTTCATAGATACAGATCAGATAATTAGAACAACGAAAGAATTAAAGAAAGCAGTCAAAATCACCAAAAAAAATAAAAAAAGGAAATCGGTAAAGACTTTATCAATACTATTAAATGAATCAAATGCTGAAATTCACCGACTCGCAGAATAACGAAAAACATAAAAAAGAAAGAGAAATTAGGAACTGTTGACCGGAGAAACACGATTCGAAGATAAAATCAAATGGAAAGGTTACCTGATCAGTGATTACTAGTACAATCGATAACAAAATTGTTTGAAATTGCAGACAAATATGGTCCGAGAGGAACAAACAATCCAGTGAAGACGAAAATGAGAGCAGTCTTCGTTTCTCAATTACTTCCCCCAAGCCTCGTTTTAATTGTGACCGTTGCCAGCGTCACTCGCGACTATGCATTCCTGTAAGTACTCGCTTCATGCCTTCTACACGTGTTGACCGTGCTCTTTTAATTTTTACCTTTTTTGTTTTTTGTCCCCCCTTTCTTTACTGTCTGTCCTGCAGAATAATGGGAGCATGGGCTTTCCTCTACTCATCTTATTGTACCCATTAAGATTAAACTTTTACTTAGTCTTGATCTAACACAATTTCATAAAAAAGAGTGACAACAATTTTGGATTCAAGGACAAAATTGACCTTCGACTACATCCAATTAAATTTGATGGAATTTACTTTTAAATATGGCCGAATCAGATTGAATAGCGTCTAAACGATGCCTAATTAGAACAAGGGATCAAGTTATCAAAAATTCCACAACTCTGAATGAAGTTCACAGTTATCTCAAAGTGAAAATATAAGAATCATTCATTTTTATACACGTCAATATAAAGTTTGAGATGATAGAATGAGGATAAAGCGGTCCTATTTTCCCATGCACAATTATTAATTCTCTAAATTAAAACTATTCGTTAATTGATTAAATTATTTTTTAAAAATTATAGAGATAATTATTATATTAAAAAAATATATTCTCAATATAATTTATATTTATAAAAAAAAATTTTGTGGATAAAAAGAGACAAATAATATTATCCACTTTACCTTGAATGGAGCAGTTAAAAGCTTAAGATGCTATAGACCAGCTAAATGTGCAACATGACATTTTATATGCAATAATTCAATAATAAAGATTATTTTTAAAATGTTTAAACTAATAAATATTTATTTATGAAATCAAAATCATCTGTCAATTTAGTAATAAAGATTGCTTTTAAAATGTTCAAACTACTACATATTTATAAAATATAAAATCAAAATAAAGGTAAAAAAATGATATGTTCATATATCATTTTCCTTTTATTTCATATTTAAAAAATGCCTATACAAGAAATCAATAGTTGTCCAATCCTATCCAGTATCCACGTTCAATATATTGAAGAATCAAAAACTAAATTGACCCAAATATTACATTCAATATTTTTAATCATTTTAAACAAACTCAAAAATTAAATCAATCCAAAATATTATATCTATAATCTCTTTAATTATCTTAAACAAATTTAGAAATTAAATTGTATGATTAAAGATCAAGTCCAAGATTCGAGTAAAATCGACCTTCCTCTCATCTCCCAAGGAATTCAATCAAATGTTCGTCCTATCTTTTTCACTTTGAGACATTTGCTAAATGATTAACAAAATATAGAAACCAGCTCAAAAAGTTTTAACTTCAAGTTACATGGAGCTCTCTCCATTCCAAAACCCAAAAAGGCTTTAAATAGCTGCTCTGGTGAAAAAGCTAAAATAATTACATCACCTGAACTCCTATTAGTAACGATATATGGAGATTTAGAAAATGAATATTTAATAGTTATAACCATTACCGACAAAATCATCCACCTCATCACTGCTGTAAGATTCAACCACCTGACTGTCATCATCCTCCTCGTCACCCTCAGTAACAATCTCCAGCAACCCAGCTCCTCCATCAAAGTCTACATCATCCATGATGAAGTCCCCATCCTCCTCTTCATCATCAAGCTCGCTCACACTATCATCATCATCATCATCATCATCATTGCTCATATCATCAGCATCACTCTCACCGTCCCCATCTAGGTCTGGACCAAGCATAGGATCCATGTCGCCATCATCTTCATCTTCATCATCATCATCATCTTCACTTTCTGCGTCATCAGGATCAGAGTCATCATCAGTTGGCCTCCGTCGACCAATCTCATAAATCCTAGCAGATGAATACATCTCTTCTTGGTCATCCATTGTAACCAACCCAACAAAAGAATCAGTTGCCTCTGTAGCAAAATCAAGGACACAACGATCTACTGGTATAGTTGCAATTTCTGAGTAATTGATAGCATCTACAGTACGGAAAGCAGAAAATAAGGGGTGCTTTGCACGTCGGGTGTGAACAGCTGACATTACATCATCAAGATTTCTTCTCAAGATTGCGTAAATGACATCACCACGTCCATTGAACGTTACTGCTGTCTGGTCCAAGGAAGGTACACTCCGAAGGAGCCTAAATTTCCGAAGATCCCAAACCTCAGAGTTAATTATAACCTGCAACGAACACAACTCTTTAACAAAAGATGGCAATCAAAAGTTTAAAGAAAGAAATTACAAGTTTCTAGCTAAATGGACGGATAACCTGTAAGACAGGTGCAGAATTGCAGTTATTATTTGAAAATATAGACCAAGTAAAGAGCACCAAAGAAATTTTAAGCACAAAAACCCACAACTAAAATATGCAAGCAATAGCTCCCAAAACATTTATTCAATGAGTGTTTTGAGTTGTATTTATCATAATTATGCCCTTCAGACAATCAACAGAATCCGTGAGGCCATGTCAGAACTCATTTAAAAATTTCTCATCATGAGCCAATATTACATGTGAACTAAACTGTAATTTATTTTCACTTCAGAATTTCTCCAGCTTTGTTATTATCTCTTATATTCTTCAAACTATGAGTAGAGGAGATTTAGCTAAGAATTAATTTTAAAAAAAAAAAGGATTTTCTGCCAACCAACGTTAGTATGATTGATTTAACAAAACAGTAACAAAATCTTGCATACCTCATTCCCAGCAGGATGAAAGCCCCCACCTCCATAATCCGTAAATTGATCAAAACGGTGAACAGGACCAGACTGCCGCCTATCCCACAAGATCCCGTTCCAGAGCAACATTGCATCTGAAGGACTAAAATGTATAAGTGAATACACATGTCCCCGACCTGTAGAACTTGAACTTGTATCTGACAGCGTTGATTCCACCTGACAGGTTTGAACATCATAAATGAGAATTTCTCGTCGAACTGGCTCACTTTTTAACGTGGCAAATATACTCCCAGAATGACTAAACCTTGCAGCCTTGCACCCTTCAAGTGAATGCATAGGCCCACCTGAGATCAAAGAGGCATCCCACAGACGTACATCTTGGGAACTTGAAGAGAGCAACAGTTGTGCTTGACTAGAAACATGTGACTGGATGAGTGTCAAGGGAGACTGGTGGCTGGTGCAGCTTTCCAGCACACTGTTGCTGTTGGAGTCGAAAATTTTAAGCTCTCCAGTATGACTGCCAACTGCAATATGAGAGGAATCCCCAAGAAAAGTTATGCATGTCAAAAGGGCATCAGCATCATCCCTACAAGTTCTCAACAGCCTGAATCTGCTATATACAAATTGGCGATCCCGGCGATTTCCATGAACCCCGCCATATATATTTCTGAACTCCCGTGTACCAAGCCTAGCTGTTACATTTGATGGGGCATCAAGGCTCCTTTTCGGTTCAGGACAAACATGTGGGTGTAAGAGAGAGAGAGGTGGAAGAGTGGTAATTGGAGCTGGGCACTGGCGATGCTGGTGCTTCAAGTACTGAACGACAAGAGAATCAAGACTTAACCGCTCTGAGTTGCTGGACTGCTGATCGTTTAGAAGCCCAAGTTGGGTTGGGTTACCATATTGATTGTCATCTACATAATCTACCAAACTGCTTGGTACTGATCTACCGTGTGGCTCCCTCAAATTAGAACTAGGTGTAGAAATGCCAACAGCGTCATTGAACAAACTGCTCTTGCGCATGGCATTAGGTGTCAAGCAAACTGGAGAGCGAAGTCCATGATCACTAGTGTTTACTCGCTTGCCAGATGAAGCACAGCCAACATCTTTCAGATCTGATACTTTCCTTTTCATTGGAAGTATAATTGGAGTTTTACACAAAGTTTCTGCATCGGGAATGCTTCTTGGCAAGGCTTCTGGAAGCACTTCCAATGAATTTCCAGAAGTAGCAGATTGTTTTGAACCACCTGGAGCCTTTTTGATTGATGGATGATTGGAGTCATGCAATTGAGACTGATTTCTTGACTGTAAACTAAAAGTTGGTGAGAACACAAGTGGTTTCTTCTTTGAAGACAAAGCTGAGTCACACTTCAAGCTTGAATCCTCATCATGTGCACTTGCTTTTGATTTGTTGCAGAGGAATCCAGAAGGGGCTCGACCAGAGGGCCACTGAAGCTGTACTGAAGGAGTTTCTTGTGTGGAGACTTGGTGCGTAAGGGAAGATGCACCAGCCAGTGGTGGCAAAGGCGTCAATTGGGCCTCTTTCAGCAGTGTAGCAGCAGATGAAGCCAAACCAGAAGCCTGAAGGTGTTCATGGATGAGGAGCAGCAGTTCCCTGAGGTTTTCCATGTCCACAAATACAATAATTGATAGATATAAAACCAGAATCAGAAGCGAGTGATTATATAATGGTCTGGGTGCAACACTTTTTAAGTATTTACTAAATACCTAGAATGATAAGAGATGGGTGTTGCAGCAGCAATTGCTGCTCTCTCTATGCGTCTCAGAGTAGGGGTAGCAGCATCAGTAGCAGCCAATGTGCTGGCACGCCCTGAATTCGTTACAATCTGCAAAATGTATAAACAGTGAATACAGAGGTCAGACATTGACATATTACATGTCAAGGGGGGAAAATAAAAGAGCTCAAAGTAACTGATCCCTAAGTTTTCCATGCAGCCAAAAGACAACATCCAACACTTAAAAGATACAGTTGATGCACAAAACTGCTGCTGCCAGTTATCCTCACAATAACCATTCAGAATAATAAATATCCATTTACCTTATAGCTTATGATAAAACAACCAGAGGCACATAGCATGCAAAGGCCATGCAGTGAACCAGGTGAGATTTGCGTATGGCAAAATAAATAGATTGTGTAAGATCAAGAGAAAGTTTGCACACTGGAGACCAGGGCCAATAAAATGAAGGAGCTGGCCAGGACTTACAGGTTGGAGAGACCAGAACTTATGACAAAGGACAGCATAAACAAAATGTATTCATAGAACAATTGCTACAAAGGAAATGATTCAGAAATTACATTCTAAGCACTGTAGGAAGTAAAATTGATCACAGCAATTAGTTCATTGCCGCTTGGGCAAGTTCTGCTTTCCACCTGCCTTGGTCAGTTCAAATGCCACATATTGAACTAGATGGGAATTGTGTAGGGCAAAAATAGATAATTGTGTAGATACCAAGAGATAGGGTGTACACTGGAGATCAGGCCCAGTAAAATGAAGGGGCTGGCCTGGGCTTACAGGTCAGGCAGAACAGAGGTTTTAACTAAGGATATGCATAAATGAAATGTACGTATAGAACAATCGCTGCAAAGGAAGTGATTCAAATATTATATTCTAAACATGGTAGGAAGGAAAAATGATTACCGCTATTAGTTCAATTGCCACCTGGGCAAGTTCTGCTTGCCACCTGCCTTGATCAGTTCCAGGTGCCTGGCTACCCGCATCTCGAATCAGCTCTGACAACTTTTTCCCAACCTAAACACCAAAATAAACTTAGTAGAGGAATAACAGATCATTTTAGATGTTCAACAATCTCAGACAATGTTTATTGTCCAAACAAACACCGACATGTACACCAAAAGAACAAGCCATTCTTCAAGTGGAACATGACAAGATGATTAATCCTGCCTATATTCAAGAAAAAATAATGATTAACCCACTCGTCCCAAGAAAAATAAAATGCAGCCATATAATATATACTAACAAAAAATGTTTAAACGTACAAAAATATGCAAGTTGTGCTTATACATGCATCAGAGTCTTTACCTGAAGTTTGGTCAATATATGTGCAATTGCACCATCTCTAGCTAAACCCAGCAGTACTCGGCATGCAAGAGCACGAATGCAGTCAAGAGCAGCAGGAGGTGAGTATATGCGTGGTTGAAGAAGGTGGAGAAGAACCTTTATACCATTGTTGGCCCGTACAGCCTCCCTTGCTTGGCGATATCCTTGTTCCATTTGTGCAGCAAGGCCAGCACAACCTGCTCCAGTACCTAAAAATATTCTTCGATCCCCAACCAATCCTGAAGTTGCAGTAGGAACAGGTGTTTGTGAATTGCTACTGGTTGACCGAGCAGCAGAAGCTGCTACCATGCTTCGATCACCAGCACTGGACTCTCCATTCCGTTCCCTTAGGTCACTCAGGCTACGTTCTGTATTTCTATCCCTAGGCTCCATAACAGAAGCATTTGCAAGTTGACCTGAAACAGTCTGCTGGCCTTGAGCAGGAACAGGGGGTTTGTTGCTGATTGAAGGGGGTGGGCAAACAAGATTAATTAATACATTCAATGCTGGCTGTATGATCTGCAAATGTAAAAAATAAAAAAAAAAATAAAAATAAAAAGTTCATTAGAATGCAAAGAGTTAGTCATAAAACAGTAAGATACCTCATAACAATTTGCTTCCAAAACCCGAGGAAATATTTTCAGTAATCATGATGAGAACAATAATGGGATGGTAATAATAGGCAAATATTACAGCAAAAGTGTTTTACCTCAGGGTCCACATAATTACTAGAAATATTGGCAGCATCCAAAATGACAGCTATACCGACACGATTATTGCTTAATGTGGCATTTACAATCATCTTGCGGCTGTCATTAACCAATGTAACAATGTGTAGAACACCCAAGGCATACTGAAGCAAGTCATGCAAATAGCGCTCAACAGGTGGGGCCTACAGACATCAGCAAATTAGATATAATTGCACACAATGCAAGCAAGAAACTAATGAGAGAGGTGAATAGCCTAACCTGACACAACTCCAACATGGTAATGTGCCCATTAAAACCTAAAAACTTGTCAACTGCAGGAAATCGAGTCTTCACAAATGCAGAACCTAGCTTTCTATCCTTCTGCAACTGCAATAGGACTGCATCAATGGCCTCATTACTAAGGTCAAGTGGCTTGTATGCAGCTCTTATACTTGAAATGTTTCGAGCAGCACTTCGATTATTTTTATTGGGACGAATTGAATCCAAGAGCAGAAGAAGATGTGCTCTGAAATATTGACGCAGAGCAACACAGGTGTGATAAGCTATCTGCTTCTCTGATGATGTCAGCACTTCTGCTGGTGAACGGTCATTCCGCAAAGCTGCTGAACTTGACAGGTTTAGTGCACCTGAATTAATTCCAGATCTTACTGAGGCAGCATCGTTTAAAAGGCCAAGTAACTTCTGCAAACCATCCTGAGCATCAAAAGCATCAATAACAGCTCGGAAGACAAAGGCAGCACCAAAAAATAAGGCTGCATTTTTCCGGGCTTGATGATCCTGAGGACACTCAAGAAGTTGAATAGCTAATTCAACCACTTGATAGACAATATCTGAAGGAAGGGCACATACCCGTTCCATTATCCCCTGTTACAATATTCAGAAAGTGAGATATTGCCGGATATACTGGATAAAACTCAATAACTAACAAAGAGAAGCAATCTTCTAATAAAAAAGGAAACGCAGGTCATTACCTGAAGAGAACCTATAGTAAATAAGCAAGAGGATAGACCAAAGAAGGTTTGCTCTGTCCTAGGTACAGCAAGCAATTTCTGCATGCCACTTCGATCCACAAATAATGCAGCAAATTTCCGATGAGCAGCCAAAGCACAAATGAGCTTCATCACATCAGGCAAGAGTGTTGCCCCCCTATCTTTAGAACTGTGCTGTAATAATGCAAGACACACATCAACTCCCTTTTCATTCAAGACAGGCCCAAGCACCTCTACATATTCCCCTAACATCTCAAGACACTGAATGCAATATTTTTCTCTAATCTGTGCAAGTGATTCAGAATCAGGGACAAAATACTCTTCAGCATCCTCGGTCAATTCAGTTTCTGTACCACCAAGAGGCACTGATCCATCATTGATGCTATTGCTCCTGTCACTAGCCCACAATCAATATCAGTGATTGCACTAATTAAACATGGATACCTTAAAAAAATGCAAATACATTAATATGAAGCAACCAACCGAGAAACTTCAATTGCATTAGCAGCATCAACAACAGTAGATGCAGCTCTGGATGCAGCTAAAACTGCAGCTTCTTCGTTGTTGGAAGATTTAAATTCCTGAATTAATAAGTTGAACATAATCTTTATGAAAAATAAAGTTCAGCTAATATTAAAATAAATAAAAGATGGAAAAAAAACAACGTTGGATACCTCTAAGGCTGCGCTCTTGACAACTTCAGCAGCAGCATCACCAGCTGCTTTGATTGCTTCCGCTGGTGCATTTGCAGCTCTAGCTTCAGCCTCAGCAGCTCTAACAGCTTTCTTCACCATATCAGAAATGTCTTTAGTTCCAATTCTGCATTCCTGAAAGCAATCATCAGTGTCCTCTCTTTCTACAGGTAAACCATCAGGATTTATATTTCCAGAGCACTTTCTTGTGTCTTGTCCTCTTCTCAAATCTAAATTTTTAACCAAATTCCTATCTCTGGAACTCCGTCCCTGTCCTGTTCGACTACCAGATCCTGGAGATGTCAAAAGCTGTTCATTCTCAAAACCAGCTTCATTACCTCTTCCCTTCACTCTAGGCTTTGCCCATCCACGGGACTGCCTGCGTCTTGATGAGTCCTCTCTCCCACTCTCATCATGATCTCCCAATTTTAATCTTCCATCACGTGGGTCTCGACCATGACATCTGTCCCCACCATCATCGCCAATCACATCATCCCCTTCAGCAAATCTATCATGTGGTTCTCCACCAATTGGATCATCCATACTCCTCTCATCTGTTATCTTCAAATTATCTACATGAGTTGCTTCCATAACCTGCCGCACCCTACATCGACCTTCGTCCCTTCCTCTAACACAGGTAGCAGCAGAAACATTCTTACTTTCCATCAAATACAAAGCATCTTTCTGGTTCGTACTCATCTCCCCAAGGACACGCATTCGAAGAAAGCGCATAAGCTTTGCTGACAATCCAGATGTCAATACATCCTCAACTACTTGACCGCCACTGAGCTCAGTTAGGGGAATGAATCAGTTCCAACATCAAACAACATATACATGTGAATAAAGTTAGAAGTAAAATGAATTTTATCATTAAAAGCATACCCTGCCAAACATACTGCAAGTAATCCAATCGAATAGGTTTTCAACATTTCAGTATCCGAGGCCTCTTTTTTCCCCATATCGTGTTTGCATTGGCGATCTTCGCCAGACAATCTAGTAGTCTCATCCATCACCCAGCTTTTTATGTTTTCCATTACAGTTTCTTCAAAAACATGTGGATACTATAACCAGTTTACACATCAGAAGCCAACTAATGACTGATAAGTTTAATGGTAAGAATTAAATTAAACTTAAGAAGGGGGGGACATACAATCCAAGTTAGTGAACAGCTCATCAGAAGCCTTGAAGCAGCTGCCTGAATGGAGATTGAATATCTAGTTTCAGAAAGAAACTTTGAAGATACCAATTCAAAAAATTCATCATTCTCCTGTGAAGGAAGTGAGAAAAACATTTAAGATGATCGATAAAAGAATAGGCAAGGCAGGAACATAATAATTTAGAAATAAAGCCCAGAAAAAGAAAGCCAAGTTTAGTACCCGCACTAAGTTCCCAAGCCGTCCAATGTTATGAGAAGCACGGCTATTACTAAAAGATGAATAGCCATTCTCTTTCATATATCTGTCCATAATTTACATTTATGAGTTCAAAACTTCTGAAAGCCAACTACTATGAAAGGAAATAAGAGAAAGGAGTATATAGCAACCATCAGTCTATCAAAAACTAGCAGAAGAATCGTATGCAAGAATAAGGTTAGAGATACAATTTAACCCAGCTTTTACATCAACTCCAGTCCATCTTCAGACCAAAAGTCACAGCATGACATTAATTAAGACTAAAACATTTTGAAAAACCCATCAGATCAACACATTTGGCTTCATAAAAAATGTATCATAAAATTTCTTTCCAGTCACATTTCAATAGTGACGGTTTCCATATTGCATGCTTCCAGTCATTCATTTCAGTGGACAACATGCTGGAGAGAGGATTCACTTTAGCCAATAAATGCCCCATTTGGCGTTCACGGGTTGGGGAAGAAAGTCAAGAGGAATACCAATTGTATTCTTATTCAATGGACATTGATGGACCTCAGTTTTGTTTAATGTCTAGGTATTTGGTCTTTCCATTTTTCTGTCATGAAGGCACTTGAAGTTAGTATATCAAGAGTGAAAATTCCAATGCTGGGCTCCTAAACCCTTCATTCCAACCCAAGCTACATAACTCAGATTGCTTCTTCTAGAAGCAAAATATTGTCAAATAGTGTTGTAGCAATGCCATTCCACATATGATTAAGTCAGACGCCTGTACTAACACATTCTAACATTATTCCACTGATTACCAAACAGACAGAAACACAAAAATTACAATCGATCACAGATATGGATAAAGTCATGAGGTGTCCGTCACAGCCAGCCATATAAATTTTCACTAACCACATTATTCATCATAGAAAAACTCTAGAAAAACCCTCGAGATAAAAGAACCTACATAATTTGCCATAAAATGTTCTCTACTATCGGCAAGCAAGCATCATTTGCCATAATCTCCTACCACATACAAATTCAACTTACATCGAGATCTGCAAAACATGGTAATCTGTAACAAAATCCACTCTGAAGCCATTTTCCACTTCAGACAAATTATCTCCTACCACATTTGAAGATTCATAGATGAACAGCAAATAATAACCATTCTATGTCATCTTGCACAGCCATCCTTTGCTTCTTGTCAAGATCTTTAAATGGAAGCTACATACTAAGGTTCATCTCAGAACATAAAATTTTCAACCTAGAACCTAGAGCCAAAGTTTGGATATGCTAAAAAATATAAGAATAGATAGTCAAGAAATAAGTGCATGCAGAAATCAAATAATGAAACAAAAAAGAATTTGTTGCATCCACAAGACAGCAAAGGAGGTAACCAACAAGGATGAGCTAAGGAAGAATCAATATAGATGGTTATATGTATAAATTAATCCATGTGGAAAAGATAATGACAAGATCCAAATTGTAGGGATGAAGGGAAGAGTTTGAACAAAAATCAAGAAATTGATGTGGTGAAAGTGATATAGCATAAAAACATCCTAAAAAGATAAGGCTATAAATATTACTTGATTGAGAAAATGGTAAATATAGCCAATTACAACTAGCATATCATACAAACTTATATCAGCTAAGTAGCCAGTGGACTCCAAATCAACATCACCTTTATCGTGCCTGAATGTCATATAACATTGGCCACATGGTAAGTGAAGGCAATGCTATTGTCACATCTTAACAAAGGAAGAGGATTGTTGTAGCAAAAGACCAGGTAGCATGGATTAACACTACTTTGAATTGTATTTCCATTTCAAACAACTCTCCTAAAAGATAAGCAACCTTCAGATATTGAAGGTCCAAAAAAGCTCCTCGCACCAATCCCACAATAAATGTTCTAAATCAATCTATTGCTAAGGTGATCCAGAATTACTATACCCTAAGTTGAAACTTGAAACCATGCTAGTTAATGTGATGTTGACGCGTATGAGAGTTTCAATGAATTACAACAATAAAAGAACGTATTTGTATTTGCAATATGGCAGAAACACCTCTGACTAATTCAGTGATATAGTTTTACCATAAGAAGACAAATCAATAGTCATAATTCGCACTTGAGCTTGCGTACTTCGAGCCGTTTAGTGTTCTGTTCTTTTTACTCATTAATTAGGAGAAGGCAGTACTTGGGAGGAAGGAAAATAAAAAATAAAAAGAGCGTACGTATTTGATATAAAAAATAAAAGATTGCGAGCTGAAATTGATATGAAATTCTTATAGTCTATACCAACTCATCGCAGCTAAAAATATAAAATGAAATAAACTGATGCTAGGGAGAGAGCTCATACAAGGACTCCTGAGTTTCCAGAAGAGAGGATATGGCATGAAGCACGCGAGGGTTAGGGTTATCAGGATTTGAAGTGATCTTATCCATCAATTTCTGTGCCTTCTCCAACAATTCTTCTTCATCTTTAGTTCCGTCTTCTTCCCCTAGTAGCCCCTGCTGCGATTGCGATTGGGATGGCGATTGACTGTTGCCCGTCAGAGCACTATCAATGCCACCTTCACCTTGCCTATTTGACTCGTCCATGGTGTCGTCCATTTACTGTCAAGGTATATATACGGGCAGAAAGATGGAATGGAATATACAATTATATAATCTATCAATCCGATTCGATTGGGTGTTAAGCCTAAATAATCAAATGAAAAATGATCTAAGGTGTTCAGAGCTGCGGTTCACGGTAACTGGAAAAGAAAAAGAGAAACCTCGTATTCGAGCGCTTGGCTTTATAATTGAGAAATACAGACATGCGCAAATGGAGCAGGGCAGAAAGTTCCCGATGGATCCGACCCGCTCCTGCTAACCCTAAACTAACCATCTCGCTCCTTACACGTTAGCCCAGCTCTCCACGCCACGTTGCTGTTTTATTTTTTCTTTTGGAAAAATTATTAATTTTATCTTGTATTTTCTAAAAGTTATTAGTTTGTCCTTTCATTTTCTGTTATACACCTTTACCCTTCGATATCAAATCGATCCGATGGCTATACGCCCAGAATCTAGTTAAACTTCAATTTTATAAATGTGTTTAATAGTAAAGAATTGGAGTAGTGTTTTTTCAAAAATTTTTCAAAAAAAATTAAAAACAGAATTTTATATAAATCTGTCGGTTTTCTATTTAAAAAATTAAAAAATATTTTTTAAATTTTTTAAAATTTAGCTAAAATTTAAAAACTAATTTTAAATTATTGTTCACAATGAAAAATGTATTTTCTAATTGTCACATTGTCATGGTTAAAATTGTAATATATATAAATAATTTATCTATAAAATATTTCATTGAGCAAATAAAAAATATTTAATTAACATAAATAAATTATATTTCTTGGAAAAATTATTATATTATCTTGGTATTCTAAAAGTTTATTCCCTTAGTTTGTCCTTTTCATTTTCTTGATTTGACACCCTTTACCCTCGATATCAAATCGATTTCCGATGGCTATACGCCCAGAATCTAGTTAAAAACTTCAATTTTTATAAATGTGTTTAATAAGTAAAGAATTGGAAGTTAGCTGTTTTTTTCAAAATTTTTTTCAAAAAAAATTACAACAACAGAATCTTTATATAAATCTGTCGGTTTTCTTTATTTAAAAAATTAAAAAATTATTTTTTAAATTTTTTTAAATTTAGCTTAAAATTTAAAAACTAATTTTAAAATTATTGTTCACATGAAAATGTATTTTCTTAATTTGTCACATTGTCCATGGTTTTAAAATCTTGTAATATATTATAAATAAATTTATCTATAAATATATTTCAATTGAGAAATAAAAAAAAATATTTAAATTAAAACATAAATAAATATTATAATATTAATATATAATTGATTTATTATTATAAATTATATTATATCTATAAAAAAATAGTTTAAATGATAAAAATTGATTATTATTATTATTAAATAATCTCAATAATACCAAATTAAAATTTTTAAATTTATTTTATAAATATTTATTCTTTTAATTATGAAAGTTATGAATAATATTTGTAGGTTTTTAAATTAAATTATTTATTTGTGATGTATGAGGTGCAAATTGAGCATATTTTTCATTTTTATTTTTTAATTTTATATTGATATTATTATTATAAATAATCAATAATACAAATCTAAAATTTTTAAATTTATTTTATAATATTTATTCTTTTAATTATGAAAGTTATGAATAATATTTGTGAAGTTTTTAAATTAAAATATAATTTTTTTATTATGATCAAATGAGCATATTTTCAATTTTTTATTTTTTAATTTTATATTTTTAAGAAAACTATTTTTTGTAAGTAAATACTAATCAGTAAAAAAGAAACAACTCTTCATATCTTAAAAAAAAAATTTCTGATTATCAAATTATTTTTCTCTGTCTATAATATAGACTTGTATCTTTAAATTATTTTGTTTGCATTACAAAGTAATTTTCGCTAAGTGTAAGCATTTGAATCGGTAAATTTCGGTGATTGGTTAAAAGTTCGGTTAAAAGTTAACTTAATTAAATTAATCAAGTTAATTGTGTCTCAAATCTACAACGTTTTAATAAAATTAAAATATATTATTTTAATTAACTAGTTATTAATAATTTTTTTAATTTTTATTTTAGTTAAAATTGGTTAATCACAGTTTTAGTTAAATTTGATTAGGTAATTAAGTTTTCATTTTCTTTAATTTCGACATGGTTAATGATCAAAAATTAATTCAGCCAAAATGATTTGATTTAGTTTGGTTAAAAAATTAATTCGATTAAGTAAAAAAAAATCAATTAATTTACTTTGGTTAAAAATATTAATCAAATTGGTCGAATTTGACTGAATACACACCTCTAATTTTTCTTGTTGATATGGATTCTTTTAGTTAAAAGTTGTTTTAAAAATAATATGCGAGAAAAAAGAAAAGGTAAAATTATTTATAGTACTTGTTCTTTAATTACCTAAAATCTATATATATGTACGCGCTCGCACATACCATAGGTAGCAATTATTCTTTGCTCATGAGGTGCAACTCATAATGCAGGCCCCACTTAGCTTGCATCAGTTCCCAAATTCTTGGAGTTGGGCGTTTGAGACAAACGGAGTACACTGAGTCTCCAGTGGTTACAATGTTTTATACGAGGCTCGAAATATTAGTGCTGCAGGTCCATTCTTTTTGTGGAACACGGTTTGGCAGCTAAAAGTCCCAGGTAAAATAAAGAATTTTATATGGCGTTTACAATCAAATTATTTATCGGTTCTCGATTCTTTATTTAAGAAATTTGTAGACGTTTCAATAAGTTGTCTTATTTATATGCAAGTAATTGAAAATTCATTGCATGCCATTTAGCCGTGTCCTTTTGCCTAGGAAGTTTGGACTATTTCTAGTATTGGCTGGTCGTATGAGTTTGATTCTCTGACGGATTGGCTAGCGGTGGCGATTCAGCGTTACTTTTCTGATGACCTGTGTTTGTTATTTTTTAGGCATGGGAGATTTGGTTGCATCGTAATAACGTGGTTTGGTCTAATAAACGGGCTACATATAGTCAAGTTGTTAGGAGGGTGGTGGTTGGGTTATAGGAATGGCGACGTGTTCAAGATAGTAGCAGCAGAGCAAGTGTTGCTCGTGATTCTTCTCAAGCTAAGTGGTGTCGACCTGATGCTGATTTTGTGAAGTGAATGTGGACGCTGCTTGTGATTCAATCACAAAGCGAGCTGGTGTTGGTTGGATTCTGAGAGATAGTAGTGGTCGGTGTTTGAAAGGACGGATGGTGTCGGGGTCTGTATTTTTCAAGCTCAGTCATGGCTGAGTTATGAGGCATAAGAGAGGTGCTGTGTTGGTTGAAGTTGGAGGGCAGGTTGGAATAGGTGATTGTTGAAATATATTGTTTAGTGGTGGCTAATGCTTTGGACCGATTTGTTCCCATTAATACTTACTTTCGTGCTTTTATTCAAGTTCTGAAAATTCTAATAGATGATTTTGCTTCTTTATCGTTTGTATTTGTTCGAAAATCAGTAAAATAATGTGCTTATTTGTTAGATAAAGCTTATGTTTTTAAGACTAATCTAGTGGAGTGGGATCTTGTCCCTCCTCCTTTATTCATGATGTTATTCTATTTGATGATAATAATATTTAAGCAGCATTTCTCAGTTAAAAAAAAAAAAGTAGCTTTTTCAAAGAAGTGACATATATAATGGTTAATTGTTTTATGTAATTATTTGATTGCAATATATGATTCAAAATTAATAATATGTGTAATGCGTTAATTGTTTGTCTTTATATTTATTAAAAAAATCGATATAATTATTTATTAAATAAATTATGTTGCGTTAAAATATAATTAATTAATACAATGTTAGAGAATTAACAGTATATTAAATAATAATTTATAAATTTTATTATATGAATAAATTACTTAATTTATGTAGTTTAACAATATATATGGTTATTGTTTTATATTACTTTCAAAAAAGTTATTTAAAATAAATTGAATAATAATTTTATGAAATAAAATTATTATTTATGCTAGTGTTAAGCAATATATATGGTTATTGTTTTATAGTTTACTTTCAAACAAGTTATTTATAAAATAAATTGAAATATAATTTATTTATTAAATTAAATTATAAATATAATTTGAATTAATTATAGTTAGGGCATTATAATAATTTTTAATTAATTAAAATAAATTATTTAATTTTATAAATTTTGAATGATATGAGTGTGTGTTTAATTTAATTTCCAAATCAAAATAATGAATTTTACTGTCTTTTTTTTCCCATTTTTTTTAATTAATTTTTTTAAATTCCATTATCAAGTTCATATTCTTGGCTAAATTGAATAATAATTTATTTATTAAATTAAATTATTAAATATAATTGATTAATTATAACGTTAGGCAATTAATAATAATTTTTAATTATTTAAAATAAATTATTTAATTTATAAATTTGAATGATAATGAGTTAGTGTTTATATTAATTTCAAATCAAAATAATGAATTTTACTGTCTTTCTTTTTATTTTTTTTATTAATTTTTTTAAAATTCCATTATCAATTCATATTCTTGGGTACATGTCTATTTATTAATTTTTACACTTATAATCAAAAGGTCTTCTTTTCTTACTATTTATTGTATATTTTGTTCATATTTTAAAATAGCTTATATAAAAAATTTGACTCAAAACCTATCATACACGTACATAGATATTTTTTTATCAATTTTATTTATTTTTTAACCGTCAATTTTATTTAATTTTAGTATATAATAAAATTAAAATCAAAAGCAACCAATGTAAAAGAGAGTAACCGATGTAAAAGAGAGTAATATGATTTTTTGCTAGGGAGCTCAGCACATGCTTCGAACCATTGGTAAGTCAAACTCATCTGATTTCGTTAGTGTTTTACATAATATGTAGTTTTCATAAAAAAAATTAAAATTTATTTTAAATTAGTTTGATTTTTATTAAACTTAGAGAAAAGCTCAAATTTGTCTAAAAATAATTAAATATAAATTAAACTGAACCAGTTGATTTTAATTCGATTAAATATATTAATTGAATTGGGTTTCACTGGTTTGACTTTAAACCAAACCAATCCCATGGTTTTTCACTCCATTATAAATTTACTTGTATGGAGATAAATGTAAATTAGATCGAAAATACATGGTTCTAACTTTTTGAGATTAGACCAAAATAAATGGGTCATTAGTGAGATTTGGGGGTTTTGCGGTTTGGTGGTAGTTAGTGTATGTATTTAGTTTTTTGATTAAATTACTCGAGAAAACAAAATAACCAAACAAAGGCGCCTCAAGATAGAGGAAGCGGAGTCCTACTTCCAGGCAGAGACAGGGAGAGTCCCAGTCGTCGAATTCTATCTATCGATCAGAGCCTCAGGTTCCTCATTTTTACGTTCGTAATGCGATAAATTGGAATTAATTTCTTAGATTCTATTTTTAATTTTTTCCGCCAAAAAATTATAGAACAAGGAATTATGATAATTAAAATTTTGATTGAGAAGAATAGGTTGTGATCTATCTCTTTCTCACTTGTTGTTTCTTTATTAGTGTATTTTGTGAAGAAATATCGGAGAGGGAGAAAAGGAATTATAACAGCATTGGCATGCGACACAGGTTGAGCCAACAAAGGTAAGAAGAAGCCCTAATGCAGCAAGCTTTGCTTCAACAGCATCACATGTACCATCCAGGCGTACTCGCTGCTGCCATGTCTCAGGTTCTCTTTTTATCCCCTTTCTATATTTTTGATTTTCAATTATTTTCAGTTCGCTTACAATTGGGAAACTATTACTCGGTATGAGCATTCTTCATTCAATTGGTAATTACTTCACCAAAAACTGCATCTCTTTGTATACCACTTCTTTTTGATTTCGAAAGGCTTGCGCTTTTTAGCTCTATAATGTCGCCTAGATGCATTTCATGTCTCTTCTTTTGCTGTGTCCCTAAGTTGCAAGCATGCCAATGGATGTTCTCTCAATTTCAGGGCTTGATTTTTTAACTTTATCTTCCTTTTACTTTTTCTGCAGATGGAACCAATCCCCAGTGGAAATCTGCCTCCCGGTTTTGATTCGTCCACATGCCGCAGTGTGTGAGAACTATTTACCTTTTCCGATGCCTTTGGTTGCTTCCTGACTTTCATAAATGTGCATGCTTCTTGACTGGTTCTACCCAAAACACATGTATTAGTTCATTAGAGATATTTCATTTTTTCTCGTTTTACATGCTTATTAATCCGATGGCTCGATTACTTTTAGTTATGTAGGAAATATTCATGTAAATGTCACTGAGAAACTTCTTGCTGAAGTTTTCTCGACTGCTGGTCCTCTTGCAGGATGCAAGCTCATCAGAAAAGATAAGGTTTGATTATTACTCAAATTGATTGCCACATCAATAGATTTTTATTTGTTATTTTACCAATGCGCCTCCTATATATGTTAATTTCTTTTGGATGTTCTGTTTGTTTTGTTTCCTGTACATGCATTATTGTTGATATGTCAATTCCTTTATTAAACATGGCCATCTCTTATGCATCACTATAATGCATTTACTATGAGAGAATGCAGATATACCTTTTTGTTTATGACATAGAATGTCAAGATAGAAACTAAGCTACAGTGCAATCCGTGATAAGAAGGATGCTATTCATATATACTAATGGCCCATTCAGTAAATTGGACCCTCATCCATAGACACTTCTCATGACAAATAAACAAATTATAAATACAAATAACAGTTCCAACTTAGTCCACCTTTATAAGTATTGGTAACCACATAAATGTTCTATTGACTTTTATTGCCTATGTTTTCCATAATCTTTATGCCGTACTCTTTCCCGTGAGTGGTGCACTGTGTGTGATGCACTTATTTGATAGTTTACTTCTTTGGTTGTACTTGCAGTCATCATATGGTTTCATAGATTACCATGATCGACCATCTGCAGCCCTTGCAATAATGACACTCCATGGGCGTCAACTGTAAGTATGTGTTTCAAATTAAGGTTTTATTAATCTGTTTGGTAGATTGTCTAGAAGTTTTAATGTGAGAAATAGATTGATTTTTACAATTTTGTGCACTTGATTTTTTCTCTTGCAGACATTTTTTTATCTGATTAGCCAACTTCTGTATTGGCAGAATCAGCCATTTGAATGTTGCTCATTTAGTAATCTAGCTTCAGAAAAGCATTTAGCCTCTTTTTTTCTTGTGAATTCAATAATACTGACCACCACTTTTTCCATTTTCTTCCGTGCTTCCTCTCTTTCCTCCCTCCCTTCCTCCCTCCATTATGCATTTTTTATTTTGGGGCCTTGTGGGTGCTAAATGATTATTTACATTTTCTTTTTTGATATGTATTAAAATACTCTTTCAGTTACGGTCAAGCACTTAAAGTGAATTGGGCATATGCAAATAGCCAAAGGGAGGACACATCAGGTTACTTCTAATTTCCAATTTCTCCCCTTATGTTCTTCTTTATTAGTTTGATTGGTTGCTTCTATGTTGCATTTGCATGGTGTTTTGATGAGCTTCTTTGTTGTTTTTGTCAGGCCATTTCCATATATTTGTTGGTGATTTGAGTCCAGAGGTTACTGATGCAACCCTATTTGCATGCTTCTCAGTCTATAGTAGTTGCTCGTAAGTTGGATAGATATTTCTCAATTACCATATTCTCAATTGATTTGGAAAACATTTCTTTGTGGACATGTGGACAATGTTGGTATCATGGCGGACATTGTAAAGACTGATACTTACTCATATCTTTTACACTCTTTTTGTGTGTAGAATGGGGACCTTTTTGTGCTTATTATAACAATAGATAGGGTCCCAAATAGTTGTTGACAGTGCTATTATTTAAACCTGAAACAAATTTATTTAAAGTTTGTTGCAATATCCCAAATCCTTGTACTACTAAAGACCACCCAAACTTGTTGAACTTTATGTATATTTTACTAGTATGTTAATATGTAAATATCTTAAAATCCTCTAATTAGTATTATGTTTTTATAAACCTAATAACTCTACAAATATTTAACTCCCTGTTTTGGCAACCAATTCTCCAAATATTAACCACCAATCCAACGAAAACATTTATTTATATAGTCAATTAGAATTTGATGAAACTGGGTTCGGTAGTGCATACACAATATATAAACTGGAAAGCCTACATGGCGAATGAAACAGATATTTATTTCTAAAACCATAAACTTGTGAATAACTAAATTTTATATTCTTAGAACAAGTCATTCAATCAACTACAAGAAAATTCCAACCCTTTGCCATCCTTATGTTGGTCCAATTGTTATTTTTCATGATTCTTTTGGTGCATTTTCTTATAACGGAAAAATCCTTATGTTGGTCCAATTGTTATTTTTATGATTCTTTTGGTGCATTTTCTTATAGCGGAAAATGTTTATGAAAAAAAAACTTGTTCATGAAGCCTGAAACTCATGATGATTAATTTTTTAAGGTGGTTTATAATTGCAGAGATGCAAGAGTCATGTGGGATCACAAAAGTGGACGCTCAAAAGGATATGGCTTTGTTTCCTTCCGCAATCAGCAGGTATTATCGGTGGCTGCTCAATTAAAACTTATTTTTCTAGATTCAGTAGAAGCCGATAAAATGTGAATAGTGTCTGGCCTCAGATGGAGTACAAACAGATATTGACATGCATTTCAGGGCACTCAGTTTACCTTTGCAAACAATGTGTATTAGGGCCCACACTAATGTCGTGCCAAGATTGAGTTCATGAATTGAGATATCTGGCTGATGATTCTAGAAGGGAATATATCATTCCCTTATCCTGTCAACCACTGCTGATGCAATTTTCATGTCAGGTTTTTGGTAAATAAATATTTGCTTTAGAAATTTCTCGTGTCACTCTGATTTATGACATTGTTGAAATACTTGTTTGCAAGTTGTTCAAGAATGAATTAGCCTCATTCCCATCTGTGGTGGCTTGAAACTTTCTACTATGGTGGGCCTCTGCATGAATTTTTTCTCATGTTTGGTTATTTGTTCAGTGCAAGTTCTTTGTTTTTAGTTTCTATATTGCTAATTTGATCAGACTAATTTCCTGACATTTGATTTGGAGAATAGCAAAACAAACTGGATGACAAATTGTTGGCACTGTCTTGTTTGAGATTTTTGCAGTCTTGGATATTGACAACTTTTTCCCTTTTTTTAAGAATGTACTCAAGCCATACTGATATCAGTACCTTGTGTTACTTTGCAGGATGCACAGAGTGCTATAAATGACTTGACTGGTTTGCATTTAAGAACCTTTTTTTTTTCCTTTTTCGCATTGTCTGGAAAGGATTAGAACAGGATACTTGATCATTGTGCTACAAATTGCAGGTAAATGGCTTGGAAATAGGCAAATAAGATGTAACTGGGCAACGAAAGGTTCTGCATCCAATGAAGATAAGCAAATTGGCGATAACCAAAATGCAGTTGTACTTACTAATGGATCTTCAGGTAGCATGGGTGTCCTCTTTAAGATTAATTTGTTTCTTGTTATGGAAAATCTAAGAATAGTGTGTGTGGGATCTTCAGGTAGCATGGGTGTCCTCTTTAAGATTAATTTGTTTCTTGTTATGGAAAATCTAAGAATAGTGTGTGTGGGATCTTCAGGTAGCATGGGTGTCCTCTTTAAGATTAATTTGTTTCTTGTTATGGAAAATCTAAGAATAGTGTGTGTGGGATCTTCAGGTAGCATGGGTGTCCTCTTTAAGATTAATTTGTTTCTTGTTATGGAAAATCTAAGAATAGTGAAAAGAATAGTGTGTGTGGGCATCTTCAGGTAGCATGGAGGTGTGCATTCTTTAGTTAATTTTGTTTCTTGTTATGGAGAATTAAGAATAGTGAGTGTGTGGTCCTGTGTGTGATCTTCAGGTAGCATGGGTGTCCTCTTTAAGATTAATTTGTTTCTTGTTATGGAAAATCTAAGAATAGTGTGTGTGGGATCTTCAGGTAGCATGGGTGTCCTCTTTAAGATTAATTTGTTTCTTGTTATGGAAAATCTAAGAATAGTGTGTGTGGGATCTTCAGGTAGCATGGGTGTCCTCTTTAAGATTAATTTGTTTCTTGTTATGGAAAATCTAAGAATAGTGTGTGTGGGATCTTCAGGTAGCATGGGTGTCCTCTTTAAGATTAATTTGTTTCTTGTTATGGAAAATCTAAGAATAGTGTGTGTGGGATCTTCAGGTAGCATGGGTGTCCTCTTTAAGATTAATTTGTTTCTTGTTATGGAAAATCTAAGAATAGTGAGTGTGTGTCTGTGTGTGTGAGAGAGAATTGGGGTTGGCCACTACTTCCAAAAGAATATGCAAATTTGTGAAGTGTGCAGCAACAGTATACAGCATAATATATGGATTGCTACTCTTGTCAATTGGCATACTTCGGGTGCTTGATAATTGTGCTTTCCAGTTCAATTAAAATGCCTGGGTTAATTAACAACTTTACTGGCTAATTAAAAGCTAGTTGCCTTAATATATAGTTGGGTGTTTGATATGTTCTTGTTACTAGCAAAATTGTTAGGCTATATTGATGGATTCATGTACTCCCATCCAAGTTCTTTGAATGAGGCTTTCTTGGGTTAATTAAACTTTTAGGGCACGAGGTGGTGCATTTTCCGTATGCTTTCATTTTATTAAAATATAGTTCAGAGAAATAAATGTTCAATTTCATTATATTCTTCTTTTTCTACTTTATAGTTCTGGATTTAAGTTTTTCCTTTCCATGTTATAGTTTGGCTCACTGAAAAGATATCTTTTGCAAGAATGATAGTGAAAACTTGATTCTTCACAGATATTTCATTATGTATCTTCCGTCATGCAGAAGGATGTCAGGAAAATGCTAATGAGGATGCTCCTGAAAACAATCCTGCATACACTACTGTCTATGTTGGTAATCTTTCCCACGAGGTAATTACTGAATGATGATATGATTATGGTACTGCTTTGACCCAGATTTAATCATTTTCCATAACTGCAAACATTTAATCATTATGAGAAAATGATGTACCTTTTATTGTCATACAGAAAACCAGAAAATGTTTTTTGTTGACCAATTTTCCTAGGAACTAAAAAAAATAGTTTCTGGGATACTGACCATGCCAGACAAAGCCTAGGTTGCAAATTAAGTTGAGAAATACCCTTAAGAGCTCTGATGTGATGGGAGCTTTTTTTGAAAATAAGGGAACTTTTTTGTTGACCAATTCTCCCAGGAAATATCTTTGGATGCGACACTTCCCGTGTTTTGCAATTAAACTTTTGAACACAGCTTTCATGTTGTCTTGCAAGTGATACGTGCTTTTAGCTCTCTGATTTTTCATCAACAATTTGGTTTTTGTGCAAAAAGGTTACTCAAGCTGAGCTCCATTGTCAATTTCATGCTCTTGGAGCTGGGGTGATTGAGGAGGTTCGTGTTCAGAGAGATAAAGGTTTTGGATTTGTAAGATATAATGCTCATGAAGAAGCAGCCTCTGCCATCCAGATGGCCAATGGGAAGCTAGTTCGTGGAAAGCCAATGAAGGTCAGGCATAACACCTGATGGAGTCCCTTTTTTTCTTGTCTTTAATTTATTGCTCCTATTTCATTGTTGGATGACAATGTTCTTTTATTCCTTTATAAAGACAGTCTCTATGTCAACTTGTTGCTCTGACAACAATATCCTGTGCTCCAAATTACCCAGTTCAATTTACCTCCTTATTGTACCAACACTGTCAGATGACATGCCTATATGCCTGTCTTGTCCATTGGCATTTTTTTACTTGGTTGTAGCTGCCAGATCTATATCTCCATTGTTGTGGCATGTGTACACATTTGCATAAATGGCATTTTATTTCCCTTTACCAGAGGTGATCAGTGAAGTAGTAATGCTTGATTGCATGCTACCTTGGAAACTTTTCAACTTACAATCATGACAACTTTGTCGCCCCTTTGATTTGCTCTTGCATTTTATGCAGTGTTCATGGGGTAGCAAGCCAACACCCCCTGGGACAGCTTCGAATCCATTACCACCTCCTGCTCAACCATATCAGATCCTACCATCTTCTGGCATTAATCAGGGTTATTCTGCAACTGATTTGTTGGTCTATCAGCGCCAACTTGCCCTGAGCCAGGCTGCTGCATCTGGCTTATCAGGTCAAGCTCTTGTGCAGCTGACTGGACAACATGGCCTAGCTGCTGCTTCTATGGGTTTGAACTCCGGTGGATCCCAGTCCCTCTATGATGGATATCCTAACAGTTCTTCAGGTCAGCAGCTCATGTATTATCGTTAATGTGAGGGCCATTTTCACTGATTATTTTCCTCGGTGCCATATGGGTACCTATCCTTGGATTTTTTTTTTTGTTCTTTTTAAATTTTCAATTATGGGTTCTCTGAGATGTGAGGTCGGTGAGTTCTGGTTTTGTTGTATTAGTGCTTCATGTGACGAGCATTTCTTGGGGGGTTTTTTTTTTTCCAGTTAGATTGTGCACTGTTTTATTAGTCTTTCTTTCTTTTTGTTTCTCTCTTCATCTCTTTGCTTAAATGATCTGTGTAAAGCCTGAGTTTTGGAGAGTATATAGCATGATATTAGTTTGACAAACCTAACTTTGTACGAAGGGTGCAAGAGAGATGCTGAAGCCATTGCCTGATTATTGAAGTTCCATTAAAAATATAATTAAAATAAATAAATTGTGCAACTTGTGCATGATTGGATAGTGCCGTTGTATCTGAAATATGAAAAATAAATTTCATTTGAATGTGCGCGAAGAAGATGCTCTTGTAATTCCTTATACCAATTTTATATATTGTTTCTTCATTTTAACTTCTCTTAAAAGGCTTCAAAGCGGTGACCAGAAAGCATCAATTAATGAATCGTGTTTTTAATCGATCATCCTTCTCGATTTTTAGTTTAAGAAAAATTCTGAGTATCACTGTATTCTTTTTCTAAGTTATCTAATTTGGGGATTAACGAATACAAAATTTAAAAGAAGTGTGTAAATAGATTATTTTGGAAGTCTCAAGTGTGTGTGTATACATATATATATAACCTGTATGATGCAACGAAACGATATATCTGAAAAAAAAAAAAGATTTCGTGGTTTGAAGATTTGTTCCAAGAGTTTTAGCAGTTTTATTCTGTCGTTTCTCAAGTTGAGAAGATAAGTTGGACTGGTTCACAGAAAAACGCAAGTGCAGATTATTTAGAGCTTAATAAAATCAAAAGAATTTGAAATAAACTTGAAAATTGGATATAACACCCAATAACATTTACAAATTTCTAATGTATCATATCGATCTCAGAGTCTCGCCGCTACCTATAACTATAAATGAAAGAAACTTTTGCGTCAATATTACGTACAAACTTCTTAAGCTCTTTGAGTGAAGGCAACAAGAATTTGGCAATAAATGTTAAAAGACCAAAAAGGAGAAAAACAAAATAAAACAAAACCATTTCCGTTGGGATTTCAGAGATTCCCTTTGTACATGTTGGAAGTTGAAAGCCTTGTCATATACTTTTACAGCCTCATGATTCTACAGCGTTTGAAGGGCATCTCGAACTAATCTCAGATAAAATGGCGTCACTCTGCCAAGAAAGGAAAGCAGAAATCAGTTAATCTTTGCATGATTTAAAGAAAAAAAAAAAAAAAAGAAAGTCAAACAAAAATGAATGCAGTGACTCACTAGCTGTACAGAAACTTGACTGGGGCTGGGAGAGTGACCAGGACTGGCAGTGGGCATCGCCAAATGCATGGTTTCTTCAGCAAGTGCTCTCAGCCTGTTTAGTTCTGGCAAGACAACTTTGCCAAGATCCGGTCTGTCTTTGCGCCTTAATTCTGCGCACTTGAGTGCCAATTTTGCAAAGTTCTTGGCTTCTTCTATAGGCCAATCAGGTACTGCTGGATCCAACATCTGTGCAAATGCATCTTTTTCAAGGGAACGTTCCACATGATGGGTCAACCCCATCGGTGGTTTTGCTGTTAATATTTGTAGAAACATTATCCCGAGGGAGTAGATATCTGACTTGATCCCTAGCATCCCTGTTTGCTGATACTCCGGATCTATATAGCAGAATGTCCCTGCTGTGGACGTCATGCGATATTGTGTCACGTTGTCTGCAACGGATGGTGGTACTAGCCGGGCCAACCCGACATCACTGATCTTACTCACATAATTTCTATCAAGCAAGATGTTGGCAGGCTTTAAATCGCGGTGCACCAGTGGCTCTGGTTTGCTTTGGTGAAGGAAAAGCAGCCCTGTTCCTATTTCAGCTGCAATTCTGAACCTGAGCTGCCAGGAAAGAACCGGAGTATTTCCTCGTCGGAAAAGACGGTCTTCTAAGCTCCCATTGCCCATGTACTCATAAACCAAGCAACCATATTCTGGACAGGCTCCTAGAAGAAGTACCATGTTAGGATGTCTTATGCAACTAAGCACCTCAACCTGCAGCAAATGGTCAACCACAGTTTTTATTTAAACTTCATGCATGGCCAATTATTTCTCCATTGAAAATCTTTTGTCAAACAATTAAGTAAACACCTATACCATACCTCTTGCTGAAACTGTGACCTTCCTTGGGCTGCATCTGGACGTAAAACCTTAATCGCCACAGGAGTATGGTCTAAATAACACTTGTATACAGGTCCATAACCCCCCTCCCCAATCTTGCGAGATTCTGCAAAGAATTCCGTTGCAGCTTCAATCTCCTCTATGGTATACTTCCTATATCTGATATCTGAGTTTGCGAGAGCATCAAGCGCCTTTCTCTTCTCTTCTGCTTCTTTGAGTGCTTTCATTTCTGCACTCACTCTTTTCTGTGCCTCAATTTCTGCAATCCTCTGTGATGCCTCAGCAGCCTCAATGGCCGCTCTGGACTTGGCTTTCTCCCTTTCTGCAATTGCCAATGCAGCTTCCTCAGCTAGCCGTGCCTCTTCCAATCTGCGCTCTTCTTCCATTTTCCAAATCTGAAGCTCTCTTGCCTATAAATGCAATATTTCAATCCAGATTATAGAGAAGCTGTAATAAGTCATATTGTAGAGCTGACACAATATCTCATACCTTTTGTTTTGCTGTGAGAGCTTCTTTGCAGGCTGTACTGTACATTTCCATCGTTTGCTTAAGCTCAAGCTTCAGCCTTCTCATTTCAGCTTCAACATCTTCCTGTAAGTACAGAATATACATTATTACATATATAATTGCGTGAGATTAAGAAATAAGTTGATAAAATTACCATTCCCTGCGATGCGGAGGAGAGCCTATCAGTACTTTCATAAGACATTGATGACATAAAGTCCGGTGGAGAGCCAGAGGCAATGTCTATGGATCTCCTCCCATACGGCATTGACTCAAAGCTGTTGCCGCAGTCCACGTCTGAAACATTTGAGAGGCGGCTGGTACGGCCTATATCTAGAGCATCATAGAAGGCCGGAAACATACGGTCAACGCTCGGTCTACCAGAGCTGACAAAGGAAATGTCAGTATCTGGCACGGAAAGTTCCCCATATGATTTGCCATTGACACCTCTCCTGGTGAAGGGGGACCTGAAAGTATCTGATTCGTCGTGGGATCTTCGCGGTTGCTCCAAAGGGGGCTTTTCAACAACTCTTTTATTGTTGTTGATGTTATTATTAATTGGAGGCTGAGGAACAATAGGCTCAGGTGGAGGAGCTGGTTTAATGCTTAATTGGTTGTGCAATGGGGAGATAGCTGGTGCAGGACGGGATGCAGGTCGTGTGGATTGAATCTTCCCTTTGGAAATTACATACACAGTTGTAAAATCAGGCGCTCCCTTTAACACAGTGCCTGGAACGTCTGTGATCTTGAATCTAAGAAAGCCTGTTTTGTTGGAGGCGCCAAGAACTAAAGTCTCAATTGCCGTGTGAGTGGTGTATTCAATTATAGCTTTTGCTACGTCCGTGTCTTCGAGCACCACGTCTTTGCATTGAATCTGGCAACAATATATATATTTAGCTTTTGGCTAGCGTCGTGGTCTTCGAGCACCACGTCTTTGCATTGAATCTGGCAACAATATATAATATATATATATATATTATATATATATATTAATTTTTTTTCAGTTAAGTGAAAAAAAGAAAGAAAGGAAGAAATATATATAATTTTTTTTTCAGTTAAGTGAAAAAAAGAAAGAAAGGAAGAAAGAAAGAAGAAAAGAATAGACATACATACATCTTTACGTGTGCAAAAGCAACGAAATGGAAGAAACAAATCCTTGGTCTGAGGATCTGGGTTTTTGCACACCAAAATACAATCTCCATTCGGATCAGCAATTTGGTTCCCCCCTGCACCAAAAATCATCATTTCGTTGGAACTGATAATAATGCGCGTGGAACTGAAAGACAAACACTCAAGACAGGAAGGGAATGTGACGAACTCATAGAAGAAGACTTGATTTTAACATGGATTAGAATGACGCTTGTGCCTCTCTGCAGAATGTGGTCGATTGCCCATTTCAGGGCATTTTGGCTGTTTTTATCCTTGTCTATTGCCACAGCCACTAATCCATTTCCAGTTCCTTCCCTTTTCTCTGTCTGGGATCTTGCTATCCACATTCTCTCTCACACGCAAACTATTTAAAAAACATAACCAATAAAAAGAAAACCTAAAACCCTACAAAAGCAAAAGCAAATGCAAAAGCAAAAATCCTTTTTGGATATGCTCTTCTCTCCCAAGACCAACAGGACAAGAGAGAGAGAAAAACAACAAGGAATCCCTGTTGTTTGTCCTTCAATTGTCCGTTAGTCTTTTTCTTTTTTTCCTTTTTTTTCTCTCAAGTTTTGTAACTCTGGCAACAAAAAAGAAGAGTCTTTAGTTGTATGTTTCCTAAATTAGGCGCGCAGAGCTCTTTTTATAACTGTTTTGATTTTTTCAAAGGACATATTCCTCAAGTGTCTCCCAGTAGTTAGAGACCGCCCATCATTTGCGCCCGCCCACTGACCTCTATCAACTCAAAATTATCCACTGCACTTTTTTTTTTTTTAAATCATCGGTTTTGGACCCTAATTACTAGGCACTGCTCATGACTTAATAATAGTTAAAGTACTTAACCCTCTGTTCTATGCAAGTGTGTTTAATAAAACTCGAACTGAAAAGATCTTTTCACGTATTCGGTCACAATCCAAATATTATATATGATTTAAATTTTTCTTAATCCTAATTACCTCAGAACTTTAAAAATAAAATTTCATTAATCTAGTTTAGTTTATAATCAAGTTGGTTAAATATAGCAGGATATGATATGTTGCAATATAAAATTTGTTACTCTAATATTTCAAAATTTATCTATCATGAAGAAAAGTCAAACAAATATTAGCCAAAGAATAATTATGTTCGTGGTTTGACCGAGACTGAGTGCAAAATAATATGATTAGGGAATTCTTACTATACATAGAGAGATTAATAAATTAAAAAATACATAAATTAGGGGTGTTACTTAAATTTTATAATTTAATAAAAATTTAAATTTACTAATTTATATTGACAGATTTCAACTTCCCCTCCCACAATACAGCACTTGAGCACAATATTCGTATATTAACTATGCTAATACATTCTTGACCTATAATTCAAGAAAGAAATACACACACGAGTAATCTTCTGTGAGTTGCAATTACTGCTTAGAAATAAAATTAAAAAAAAAAAAAGAAAAAGAAAGAGCAGCCTATATAATATCTCCACATGCAGCAAATGTTTCTTGCGCACATGAAGGATGAAGGTCATAATCACACGCATCACAAGAGAATGCCCAGAACCTCCCTTGTCTTTTACAATAGTCGCACACATATGCTTTTGCCATGTCCAGTTTCAGTTCATGCTGGTGCTTCACATCCTTCAATTGACGAGGCAATGCATCTCCTTCAATTTTCAACCCTGCTTCTATCTCTGCAATCCTCCTCTCTGTGAAAGGGAAAGCCTTTGCACCGTACAGGGAAATCATGCTTTTCCCATCCGTGGTTATCGTCTTCCCATCTTCTCCAATGATCACTAAAGCTGGAATCCCTTTAATGTTGAATATCCTACACAGGTCTTGCCGTGTCCTGTCCTCATATGGAATGGCAAGCCATGGCATGTTGCTTAGGTTGATACTGAATTCTTTAAGGTCTCTATCCGTGGACACCAATATAATCTCAAAGCATCCATCTCTGATGCTCATCAACTCATTGTAAGCTTCTATTAGTTGCGCAGTGAAGGTGCGGCTAGGTGGGCACCAATGTGCCCCAAAGTACAGGCCTATTGTCTTCCCAACAAGTTCAGACACTAGAATCTGCACAGAAGTTTAGCTTTTATCTACTTATTTGTAGGAAAATATAAAGAAAAAATGTTGCCAAATTACTACGTAAACAACTAACAACATGCACCTCTCGATCATCTCGAGATAAAACGTAGTTCCGTCCTTGATGTGCCAAAAGCTGCTGTAATTTCCCTCCTTGGCGCTTTGCATCGTCAATAGCCCTCAATTCCTCTCTTCTCTTCCTGGTAAAGGGAAATGCTTCAGCTCCATAGTCTTCAATCAATCCGATCAGATCTTCTTCAATCGATATTCCATCTGAAGCCAACGAAAAAAATGATGGAATGCGGTCCACGCCATAGACGTCTCTCAATTGTCCATGCAATTCTAAATCAAATGGAACTGCAAGCCATGGCATGCATTTGAAATGCTCTTTAAAGCCATCCTCATCACGGTCAAAGGAGACTAACACAATCTCTAGCTTTTTACCTTCAGCTCTTAGGCTATTATAAAGCTGCACGAGCTGAGGAGCAAAAGTTTTACATGGCCTGCACCAGTTTGCTGAGAACAAGAGACAAATTATCTTCCCATCACATGATGATAAGGGTACCTGAAGTCAGCATCAGGGCAATTAACATACTGTATTTTGGGCTTCTAATTTCATTGGATTAGATCGAAGCCTCTATTTTCGAAGCTAAATTGCCCTCAATATTTTTTTTTTTTTTTTTTTTTTATTAGAATCGAAGCCTCTATTGTTCGACAGCTAATTCGCCTCAATATTTTTTTTTTTTTTTTGCTTTTTTTGTTTTTTTTGTTTTTAAAGCAATTAATGTCCATCCTTCAACAAGAACAGATATTTCATAGAATTAACCTCTACAAGTTTATAAGCGTCTTATTTTTTTTTTTTTTTTTTGTTTTAAGCAATTAATGTCCATCCTTCAACAAAGAAACAGAAATATCTTCATAGAATTAACCTCTACAAGTATAAGCGTCTTCTAATCCATAAAAGTAAACATTAAAAGGCAGCGTATTAAGTCATATGTAATATGTGGATAATTAAATAATTTTTTTTTTATGAAAAAAAAAAGAGAAAAGAATGGGTGTTTTTTCAAGTGAAATGAACAGAAATAGCAGTTTCGTGAGAACTTACTTTTCCTTCGCCAGAAAGAAGAAAATCAACCCCTTTAGATGCTAAGACGGTCAGAAAGTCTCTGTTTTCAATTGATCCAACAAGCTTGGAGGGTTGATTATCAGGCCCTGCCATTATAACTAAGAGCAAAAGCCGGGGTGCACCTTCTCTCTTTTATACACTTTGCTTGAGAAGTGTTGATCAAAATTCAAAAGACAGAAATAAAGAAACAGAAGAGTGTCATTCCTTCACAAAATAATCTTGGACGGTTCATAAAATACTTCAGCACCTGTTTAATATCTCAAAGGTTACTCCTTTTTTTTTCTTTCCTTTTTATTTCTATTCTTAAATTTTAAACATGTCTGTGCCATGCCCACCACATGCTTATTCACTCATATAAACTATTACTACAAGGTTAGGTAATGAATGTTTTTAAAATTTTAAGTAGAGAAAAGCACAATTATCGAATGTTAAGAAAACAGAACCACCTCTCTTGTTATAAAGGCCATTCAGTGAAGATGGGGCAAATGATACTCAATAAAGAATTACAAACTTTTAGAAGAATCTATGGCATGAAACGGTAGCAGTTACCACTTGTCTAACAGAACCTAATGCTAATTCTGTACCACAGAGAAACAACCTGAACAAGAAAATAAAAAGATTTTGTTCAATCTAGAACCATCCCTGCCCTGCCCTCTATATGCCTTAGTTAGCGTGGGTGCATTCTTTGGCCCAGAATGACAGCATGCCCTGTGACAAATCAGTCAATTAATGATGCATTTTTTTGGATTTCCAACTTTACATAACGATTAGAGTATGTACCCAAGCACAGAATAGCAAACCCTAGAGACTATAGCAGAGCAGAAACCAGAGGCAACAATTTCTGAAAGCAAGTTGGCCAATATGTAACAATTTGCTGGAGTAAATAGTACAAAGGCAGAGTTATTCCAATTAAGAAGGAAAAGATCACTTCTTGAAAAGATTCCTTTTGCTTTTATCACATACTTGAAAGCAAAAGGCATTAATTCAAGACAGCTATGTCCATCACTCAAATGGTAAGTAATTTATGAATTCAATGCAAAGCGTGAAAGAAATCCATTAGAGTACCAAGTTTCTTGTGCAAAAGGATTTTCTATCTTAATTTATAAATAACAAAACTGAACATATTTTCCGGAATAAGGACCAAAGGAATATAGGAGTGGATCGAGTAGAAATACCTTGTTAATAATTCTGATGATCGATGAAGCTAGTCTGTGGGGTTTGGATGGAATAGAAAGACGGAGAAGATAGAACCTATTCCAAGAGAAGGGGATGATAAGGGAATAAATGCGTGAGCGAGCACGTTAAGAGGTCCCCGCTGCAAAAAAATAGAAGAGAATCGATGCTTTGCTTACAAATTGGCAATGCCAAGCTATTGAGCTGGATAAGATTAGCCTGCACTTAGTGTAAATGGTTCCACATATCAAATTAATTTTTAAAAAATTAATACTGTTTTATTTTTTTTAATTTAGTGAAATGTTAAAACTATTCTCGTTAAAATAAAAGGTTTGTTTTTAATTAATTTGGTATATATACACGTTTCCATACACTCAGGAAGACAAATTCTAATGATTCAAAGTATAATATAGAAATAAAAGTCTTTCTATCTGTCTGTCTAAAGTAGCATGCCAAATATTAAATAATATTATTAATTTATTAATGATTAGAAAAAAATTTTATTATTTGAAATGATAAATTTTTTAGTAGAATTTATTTAATATAATACTAATGATATCATTAATTATTAAAAAATTAAAGAATGTTTAATATTATTAATGGTATTAATATTAATTAAAAAAACATAAAACCATATTTTTTAACAACTCAACACTTTCAAAATTATTGCTTTTGTTTGATATTGTGAGATATAAGTGAATATGCTTCTATTTTTGTATATTGATGATATTATTAATTATTGAAAAAAATTGAAGAACATTTAATATTATTAAATTAGAAAAAACTGAAAAATTTTATTATTTAGAATAATATTAAAGATATTATTAATTGTTTAGTTAAGTATTGAAAAAATGAAAGCATCTGATATTATTAAATTAGAAAAAAAAGAGAGTGAAAAGTTTTTTTTTTTTTTTAAGAAGAGTAATATGATATTGTTAATAATATAATGTAATATTAATGTTAACTCAATTAATCTAACTTAAACATTAAAATTTCAAAATAACGCCGACTCAAATGCCTTAAAAATGATTTCTTTTAGTGAAATTGTGATTTTAAGTAAGTAGGATGTCTACATGGAATGCAAAACCAATAACATAGGTTCCAATTAAAACGAATAACTAATTGATAATTACATTTAATTTTTAAATTTTAAAAAATTGTTAGAGAGAAAAGAAGTGTAAAAATGATAGGACCCCCTTATGGATGTCTGTTTATCCATTATTAATCTGTGATTTCATGTGGTGTTATATATTTTATTTATAACACAAACAGAAATGAATATGACAAAATGAAGGAAGATGGAATTGTTAAACATAATAATTGCGGTTTCAACTACTAATAAATTGCCAATAAAAGACCTGAAATAGTATCCTTGCTTGATATCAGGCATTGATAGAGAAAGAGAAATCATCATCGGTCATTGCTCTAGAAGAGTAGATTTCCCCTTCACTTGCATTTGAACTAAATTCATCGTAGTCGCTATCTCTATCCTTCAACTCCTCGATTTTGTCCACAGCCTCCCTCAAATCCCACCTCCTCTCCACTCGCCATTCACAGCAACACATCCCAATCTTCAAAAGCTTTAGCATCTCGCCTTCCCCGTTCTTAGTACCTCTCATCTCCATATCAAACACCTCACCCGTCCACTCCTCTCTAACAACTGAGTTAACCCAACTCGCCAAATCTGCATTGCCGCCTTTGCCTTGTCTAAGATAATTGGCTGGGAACTTACCGGTTAACATTTCCAGGATGAGTATACCCAGACTCCAAACGTCCGTCTTCCTGGTTGTGCGGTCACTCTGGGTGAATTCTGGAGACTTGTAGGCCACCATGACTTTTAGAGCGTGATCTTTGTTTACTAGAGGCACCAACGCGTAATCCGTCAATAGGGGCTCGAACGTGTGGTCTAAAAGCACGTTAGAGGATTTCAAATGACCATGAGGCAGAGTTAGGCTAGGGAACTCTTTGTACAGGTAAGTCAACCCCCTTGCTACTCCTTTTATGATCTTTAGGCGAGTTGGCCAGTCAAGTCCTGCTTGTCCTGAACCACGCTTACCTGAAACACCGGTGAACAAATTATACATTATGATGCAGAGAAAGATGACATTGAATTCAAGTACGTACCGTGAAGATGACTAGCCAAGCTGCCATTTTCAATAAAGTCTGAAATTAAAAGTTTCTCATCTTTTCTGTAGTAGAATGCCACAAGCGGAAGCAAGTTGCGGTGTGACAGTGTTCCCAGTCTAGTAATGTGCTCATAAAATTCTTCCTTGTTTGCATTGTTCATTTCCCTAAACCTCTTCACAACCATAGCTGGCCCATCAAAAAGTACTGCTTTGTAGGAGGACCCGAAATTGCCAGTTCCTAAAACCTCAGCAGAGGCCCTTAGAAGGTCTTGCAAGTCGAATCTCTCTCTATCGTTCCTAACGAAATTCAACAGGCCCTTGTTTTTGCCCTGCTGATCGTGATCGGACGATTCAACAAAGTGTTTTGGGGCCATCACGGAAAATTTTGTTTGGGCTTGAGTTCCTTGGACTTGGAGCTGCTTCGCCTGGGTCGTTTTGGTTCGGCGGCCTCGGAAACAGGCAAATGCAACTATAGCGGCTAACGCAAGTACAGCCACTGCTACTACCACTATTACTATTATGGTTTTCTTCTTTGAGGACTTGCATGCCGGCAGCGGCTTTCCACATAGGCCATCGTTCCCTGCTTTGTGACAAATTGAATTGCTGGAGTAAATGGTTCGTTCTTTTGAAGATGCAGTATGTTTTTACTTGCTTGTGATGGTATTCTGAAATTTTCAAACACTTCTTGTCTGCTTTTTCCTTTGCTTCTAAACTTTCTACATATTTTTAGAGTACTAACTCATATAGTATGTTTGACATTTCTTTTAATTTAAAATTGATCTAATTGATATATTAAGCTAATTAACTTATTTCTTTATTAAGCAAAAATGATAAACAGTTAAAATAAATTTAAAAATAATAACAGTATATTTCATCATATGACAATCATGGGTTCATAAATCTGACTGCAATTAATTAATATATAATAAAATTTTCAAAAAATGTAAACAATCCTATCCTTGAAAAAACATAAAATTTTAAACCGAGGTAGAATTAATATTAAGATTCACCTGCTAAAAGGGATGGATCGACTCCAGCAAGGGCAACCGGAACATGACCCGTCAAGTGATTATTTGCGACATTGAACAAAGTGAATTCCTGTTGAAAGTCTGGTATCTCTCCTTGAAACTGATTATTCTCAAGGCTGAGTCTTACCAGCTTGGACAAAGGAACAAGCGAGGAAGGGATTGGACCAGTGAAGTCGTTGTTTCCCAAATAAAGTTGAGTCAAAGAATTCATTCCAGCAAAAGCATAGTCAGGAATTATACCCGAGAATTTGTTGTACGACAAATACAAGGCCCTCAAGGAAGTGAGTTTATTCACCGGAGGCAATGGACCCTCAAAACTATTGTTTTTCAAGCTCAAAGCCCTCAGTTTAGGCAACTGCACGAGGGAATCTATGTCAATCTTCCCCGATAGATCCATGCCCTCGAGAGTCAATTTATCTATGTTATCATCACTGCAATGCAAACCCACCCAGTTCGCAGTGTCCCCGCTGCATGGATTATTAATTGTGTCGTTCCAGTTGTAAAGTTTAGAGGGATTAGAGAGGGAATTCTTGAACGCTAGGAGAATGACTGCATTGTTGTCACCAAACGACGACGTGGCAAACATGCACGACACTAAAAATAGCATCGGAATCCAGCCTGCGCAACCCATCCGCGAAGCATACATGAATAAACACAGATGGGACTCAAGACTATGAGCTGATTTAGAGGAGGCGGCCTCAGCAGCAAACTGACAAATTAATATATTAATTGACGAAGTCCTCCTATGTTGATAGGATTAATTAAGAATGAGCTGGGCTGTCAATTGGGGAGGCCGGCCCTCTTCTTATTCTTCTTTCTTTCTTTTTTTTTTTCTTCTTTTCTATTCATTCATTCCGCAATTTTGATGTTTATTGCCTTGCTGCTATATATGGTGTGTCCTGTGTCCTGGTAAGGTCAAGATGGATGCTTTTTCTTGTTAATAAAATATAGAAATATTAATGGTGTTTTGTTGTTGGCTTAGCCGTCTGTAATAATAAAAGACAACGCTATGACCTTGACTCGTATGTTTCAAGAATGTGTCTTGTGGGAAATTTTGTAGATTCTCATGAAAAGGATCGCTCGGCTACATAAATAAATATTATTATAACTCATCACAATCAACGACAATGAAGAACCTACCCCTTTTGCTGCATCTGCATGTATACGAATACGATACGATACGATACATCATTACAAATAAATAAACAAATAAATAATTTAATTATATTGTCATCGAAATAATCACTCAATCCCAGTCGCTGAACATACCTTAGGAGTTGGGCCATTTTTGAGTTGGACCCTGTCCTATCCTTAATTCATTTTGAAAGCATTGTTTAGCCTTTGGCCCATTATCATTGTCCTAAAAGTAGTACATGGCACTTGAATTGACAGATAGATGGGGTCACGTGGAAGACTCTGCTCCCTTTGGTGGCTGAGATCCAGGCTCCAGCCCACGTGTGATGGACCCGTGAGATCTTCTGCAGTCTCTAATCAAAATTAACTAAAAAAAATTTCACACTTTTAATTTTTTTAACTAAAAAAATAGGTTGAAATGTTAGTAAATGATTATTTTCAAGCAACGAATGTACAAAAGGTCTTTATTCTTGGCTTGAAGCTTGGATAGGATACGAAATTTGAAACCTCTAGCGCAAGGCAGAGAGACGACTCACGGGATAAAGCCAGCCTTTCTTCTGCTTTTAACCTTTTCACTTCTTCTGCTTTCGGCACCTGTCCTCATGCTCATACATACATGCATGAAATCGCCTGATAACTATATATTTCTGAATTTGTGGTCTGAAAGAAAAGAAAAGAAAAGAAAATCTTCATTAGTATCATTAGATTGGTAATGTTAAGTAAGCATAGGATTTAAAATTAATTTTACGTACCTCCTAATATAGAAAATTAAGCATTCAACTCTCAACTTCTTAGCTTGTAGACTACTTTGTCACCAACGATACGAGAAACATTTCTGTTACTATTTAGGAACAAATAACTAGAAAGCATATTAGGCTTGCTTACTCCCTCAAGCAAAGACTACGTGTATTTTTAGCCTATAATGTTGCTTTCTTCAAAATCAGAAAAAGTATTAAGAATCACAGACCACTCGCCACTGTCTATATAAAAAGGCCCGATATATATATATATATATTTCATTTCCCGCCTCAGGCATGATCCTACTCTATTCTTTTAACCATGAATCCGCCAACCTCTTCTGGTGACGCACGTATCCATGTCCAGTTCTCCGATTCACATGTGACATTACCTGATCAAAACAATGAAACAGAGCGTGCAAATGTCCCCTTATTACTACAGCCATCATATGCAAGGTCCAAATCCTTGCTCTTCGATGAACTCCGCCACTTCCGAATAAGTCTCAAATGGTGCGCTCTTGATCATTCCTCTTGCCTAGGAAAATTCATATCATATTTCACTTTCATACTCTTCACCGTTGTTGTTCCCATCATAAGCTCCCTCTCTATTAAAATTCCATCCTCGGATGATCCCATATCTTTCAACACGCTGGTGCAGTTGCCCGAGTCAGGCCTGGCCCTCATTTCTTTCCTGACTCTATCCGGCTTCTTTAGAAGGTATGGTCTGCGGCAGCTACTGTTCCTGGATGCTCTGCAAGACGATCCTTTGTACGTTAGACGCGGATACTCCCGGGAGCTTGACAAGGCTTTTCGCTTCCTGGCTTTCATATTACTGCCATCTTTTCTTGTCGAACTGGCACACAAAGTCATATTCTTTGGGACGGTGAAAATAACATTGCCATACGTGAGCTCAGGTGTTCCGCTGAATTCTATCATGTTTGTGTTGGTATTGTCATCGTGGGTTTACAGAACAGGTGTGTTCTTATTGGTCTGCATTCTGTTTCGTCTGACTTGTGCGCTTCAGATATTAAGATTTGAAGGTCTTCATAAGTTGTTCGACGGATGCGAATCAGACGCCGGGGTCATATTTAGGGAGCATGTTAGGATTAAGAAACAGTTGTCTGCTACGAGCCACAGATATCGATTTTTCATTATTGCTTGCTCTGTTACTATCACCATTAGTCAATTAGGAGCATTGTTGTTAGTTCTGTTATTCAAGTCTGACAAAACTTTCATCAATTCAGGGGATCTTGTGGTAAGTTTGGTTTTCAAATTAAATTTTTTTTAAAAAAAATCTTGGTCAATTAGTTATTATATTTGATTGGGTTTACTATTTGTGGGAGAATATTGCAGATTTGTTCAGTGGTTCAGCTAAGTGGGTTCTTCTTATGCATACTTGGAGCAGCTAGAATCACACATAGAGCTCAAGGCATCGTGTCCATAGCGACTAGATGGCATATGATGTTGACATCTGCATCCGCCAGGTTAGACCAACGGAAAGCAAATGTCCCAGACGCTACTGTTGATGGTACTACAGTACCAGATTCTGCCGAGGGTGATTCGTCAGACATTTTCATCTCAACTTCCTCACAGGAATCATCTTCTTTCCAGACCAGGCAAGCTTTTGGTGAGTAGTATACTTACAAGTACTTTACGCCAAAAGTTGATTTCTTTTGCATTTGTAAGAATCAAATAATCACTAAACTGCTGATTTCTGCGCATGCAGTGGCATATTTGCAACACAACCATGGGGGGATCACACTATTTGGATTTGCTCTCGACCGTGGATTGCTTCATACACTTTTTGCATTTGAGTTCTCTCTGGTGCTGTGGATTCTCAGCAAAGTAGTGGTTCTGTCTTGACCAAATCCCTTTCGGAGCTTCCTTACTTCTCTACATACCCTACGATGAATGAAATTACTGTATGTTAATGTGAAAATATATTGTTAAAGCTTTAAATGCAAATCACTATTGTTTTAAAATACCGTAAAAAAAACTTTATGTAATCACAAATATACATCTTTTTTTTTGTTAGTATTTCTTCGCAGAAAAATTGCCTACACCATCTGCTTACTTAATGAGATTTTATTCCCATACACACCCAGGATTAATAAAAGATATCCAAGTCCAGGGCAAACTATTATATATTAGCGCGGCTTGGCTTGGCTTTTCTGTTTCTACACGATTTTATATTTGCATTCTAACAAATCAATCCGAAGTCCACTTGCCGAAAGTTTCTAAAATATCCAAAGTTCATGAATTTCAATGAAATCTTCAATTTTTCCTCATCTATAAAAGCTTTTCCCTTCAATTCATGAAAAATAGGAAACACTTCTCCTTAATCCCCATCCTTCATAGAAGGAAACTTTTACCACAAAGCTTTTCTCTCTGCTTTCCATAAAACAAGTCCTTTGGTGTTTTGTCTAATAGGGCCGTCAAGTCGTTTGGAAAATTTAAACAGTACAGACTTTACTCGCTCGAGACTACTATAATCGACCATACTTCATCACCCTACCCATCGTTATAATATTTGAACTGGCCCTTATTAAGCTCAGAGAGATGTAAGGACAAACGAACTACTTTTAAATAAGTAGAAACCCACAAGCAAGAATGCTGAGAAGAATTTATATGCCACGACGAGCAAACTCAGAGGAAAAAAAATGAAGACTAGACTGAGAAAATACATGTTTACACATGTACACCATCAACAGCAAAGTCAGAGGAACCTATGGAATTGATTTTATATCATAAACAAGATGGCAACACTACTGATTCTAGTCTACTTAACAACTCCAGAACTTTGATAGGAAGTAAATTAACTCTATTCATCAGCTAGTCTTATTCTTGGACAAGATAAGGAAACTGGCCAAGGATGTCTACAATATCCCCCAGGCATGCAATCAGCTTGTCCCCCTGGCGCCGTACAAAATCAGTTTGGAACTCTGCTATTCCTGGGACGTTGCCTTGAGCTATAGCATGGATCAATTCTGCATTCTCACACAATCTCTCCACCATCATTTTCTCTGTTTCTTGCATGCATGCTGTCTTCTTTTTTCGTTTGCGAATACTTTTAGGCTGTTCTTCCACAAGACTATTTTGATATTTCTCTTCAGCATTGATTTTTTGAGCCTCTTCCTTTCTGCAGGACTCCTGAGGCTTATCTTCCACACGACTTTCCTGAGGTTCCTCATCCACGTGGACTATCTGAGGCTGTGGCTTTTCGCCGATCATCTGATGATTTTCTTCCTCACAATTTTTCTGTGATTCTTCATCAATATGGACTTCTTGGGGCTGTTCTATCGTTAAGCAAATTTGATGTTTTTCTTCTTGTTGGGTTTTCAGAACCACTGACCGCCGCCTTTGTCTCTTGGGTCCTAAAAGAAATATTAACATTATAAATACAACAGACAAATTAGTCTTAACACCACACCAGAGCATAATTACGGTAGTTTACTCCATGTGCAAGATCAATAGTTCAAGGAACTTTTACAGTTAAGCTAGTTTGCTAAACCACCTTCCTAGTCTCTGCTAAAAATTCCAATCCAAGCTTTATGCTTCAATAAATCTCGACACACTTAAACATTTGTCATATAATTCCCAACAAAACACATTTGAAAATCGAGTCAAAGTCCTTAATGTGAACATATAAGCCTTCATGATGTAAAGCTGTGCACTGCTCCACATCATACACGTGAGACTATTGTCTCAAAACATTTAATGCCCAAAGGACCAAGAATTGCAACCATTCGCACAAGACAAAATAACACGTCACTTGGAAAAGCTGTAGCAGGAAAAACAAATAGAGGCTCTGGCATCTATTAGTAAATATGCATGCAATTCTTCTTCAATTTTGCAACATAAGAAACTCAATACAATTGCACTAAGACTATCGCACCAGGCACTTCAGTGTCTCTCAATGTACCCCACAAATATGACCTCAAAAATTATATTTTTTTTCCCTCTTCTTTTGAGAAGAGCAGGGAAACAAATGCAATTTAATTATCATAACATCCCTTACCTGATTTTTCATTTTTTTTTAAACCAAAGGAAAGCATCATCACCGTTTAACAGTAATTATATAATTAAGCTAACCTGAAAATAAGCATTAGTAGAACTATAACATGCTAGTTTAACGGCTCTGCAGCTTGATTACAGTGAATCTAGCAGCAGCGGAGACGCATGATAATGAAAAGGAAGGGAAAATTTAAAAATCTCACTTCAAAACAAGCATACTGCAACTGCAACTGCAACTGCAAATGGCAAAAGATTTTAACTTAAATTTCTCACTGGATAAATTTAAAAGATAAAACTTTCAAAATTATAGCATGATAATAGTAAGGGAAATTGTCTTTAAAATCCTCACTTAAAAACACAAATGTCGTCTTCTCTTCAGAATTTGAATACCATAATTTAAAGAACAATCACTAAAAAGCTGCTATGGACAAACTTTATACATCAGAGATCCAACTGTCTTCCTGTCCTATCATTGATTATACTTGCAAGAGTTCCTAGTAGAGAAGTAATTCATTTGGTTGTGAATGCAGTTCCATAAAAGCAACATAACTGAAAACTGAGCAATAGAACTTAACCCACAACTGTAGTGCAGTTAATGATAATCAGCACAAAATATGAAGATATACAATATCAGATTTCATTAATCATTTGTGAAAAATGGGAAAAACGCACCTAGTTTTGCTATTACATTAAGAAGGTTGGCCTCTACTTCGGGATCAGTATCTGGGTCAGTATCCGCGTGGTCCTTCTGGGCCCTTACATAATTGTCAATAGCTTTAAACAGATCTTTATCAAAACTCTCTGGAAGTCGGAATTGTTTTCTCGTCTCACAATCCAATAACCAATACGATTCAGTCTTCGACTTGGAATCCCATTGTTTGATCTGGTTGTATTCAGCCAGTAGTGAGTTCCACTTGCTCCGGCACTGATTCAAAGTGCGTGATACGTCCATCACAGTACAGTTTTCAACGATAATTTTCCATTTCTGATAGGAAGACAACGCTTTCAAACAATCCCCTTCAACGGCAGCGATCTCATTGACGAGAATGAGAGCTTCTTTGTTGGTCCAAACCGGAGCTACCTGAGAACGTGTACGCGGAGCTCTCGCTACAGATGATTTATAGCTATAACTGTCCTCCATTCCCTGTCTAAGCCTAAAGCCTCTCTTTTGGGGCGTTCGTGAGTTTTGCAACTCGTCGGTGGATTCTATTGGTTCCATCGTTCTAAGCTCTTTCTACTACCACAACTACCTATACCAAATTCAAATTTGTGTTCCTTTTTGTCTTAATGTTTTACTTTCTCTTATGCGCATTAGATCAAACGATTTAGCTACCAGACATCAAACGTTTTCTCAAGAAAATATAATAATCTACGAAAAAAGAAAGCAAAAAAGCAATAGGGTTGTGAGATACCAGATAGAGGATATGAAACGATAGTGCAGTCCTCTGATCACCATTACACCTGGGTGATCGCCATTTTCTGCTCAAATTCAGGTTGGGCGAATTATACGAGGTCAGCCTTCGGTGGTACCCGCTACCTACAAAGCCCGCGACGACATGTCACGTCCAGATTCCACCGTTGTGGTCAAGTTGAGTTAATGGACCGGGTTTTAGCCTGGGCTGGACCAGATGTTAGGGTCCAAACGTACTCTAAATGAATTTTTGCGGATCGGGTATCCACGAAAATCCGCCCGCTTCCATCTCTAAATAAGAATCGAGCCTTTCATTGTTAAAAATCATTCTTGGAAAAATTGCCCCTTAATTTTTAATCTAATTATCTAGTGGTCCTTTTGAAAACTCTCATTCAATTTCCACCTTTTTTTTTTATATATTATGTTTTCACGGTAGTTCTTAAAACATTTATAGTTTAATTAGGTGAAAGCCCGTGTATTACGTGGATTGCTCTGTCTAATATACATTGTAAAATAAAAACTTTTTAATTTGTAATTTTATACTAAATAAATAATAAAAACAATTAGCAGTTTTTTTAGATAGAATGAACTTAAGTTAAGCCTCAAGTTTTCAGATAAAATGAACTTTGACCAAAGCTTATTCATATTTTCAAGTCTTTAAATTTGTAAGTGCATCTACCGTGCATTTTTTATTAACTTAGAAATTAAAAGACACCATATTATACTATACTGCTCATGTATCTCTTTTGAAAGTTAGAAACTTTGAGCCGCAATTAATCATGATATTTTCATCAAATCCATAACTTGAATGTAACATCATTTAAAATACATTTACTCCTGTCAAATATATTAGGATTCATAAGAACTCCAATATGGGAGTTCATTGGAATCACGATAATAAAAAAACTTATGTTATATTTCACGTATGAATTAAACTCGTCATTTTTCACAATACACTTATATATCAAAATTTCAAAATTAGATATGATTAAATTTCAATTATTATAATAATTATTATTAAAAATTGTTTATAAAATTTTTCAGAAATACCTTAACATGTAAATATAAAATAAATATTATTATATTCAAAAAATTGTAATCATTTCTACCATGTAGGAATTGTCAGCTCTCAACAACCTTGCTCTCACAAGTAATGTAATATATAACACTCTGGTCTGCCTTCATTCACATGATATAGTCCTTAAGCCTCGTTAACTATCACCACTTTTGATGTAGTGAGATCAAAGCAGTTCAACAATTTTTGTCTTGTTTGTGGAGTTCTTAAAGACATCCAGCTGAAGATTTTTAGAGAATGTTTCATAGAATTTGTTATAATCTTCCTTGTTCTTAACAATCTCAAATAAAGCTCAATGCACACTCTTCACTAAGTTCTTGCGGATAACTCTTAGAATCTTGTTCTACTGCAACATTTCTATTAAATGTTTAAGGAAGAAGGCACTCAGGAATAAGCTCTTCTCAGTCAATATATATGATATAGTTCTAATTAGATTTAAACAATACAAGCATAAATAGAATAAAAAAAATTGAAAAAATTGCATCCATTTCTAAATTAAAAACAAAACTCCATAGAGTATAAAGCTGCCAATAATAAGCTATGGTCAACGATAATATTCCTTAACTCCTACAAAGAAAAATGAAGCCAACAAATCAATTTTCTTCCATTAAAATAGTGGCTAATTTTTCTACTCAAGTTTGTAAGGTTTGTATAAGACATAGATAAGAAAAAATAACAACATATACTCTTCTTCTTTTTGACCCAATTGACCATTGTGTTTTATCTCTCTTATAATTAAGGACATTCCTTTCTCGAGTATTAGAGAGATACAAAGGTGAGTTGCAATTTTGATAAATTTTATACAATTCTTTTCAAGTTACATTGAGCACAAGAAATTTATATCTAGCTTAAAGTATCTTATTCCAAATCTTTCCAAGAAATCGAACTATTAAATTTAAAAATTGTAAACACTTGAAATTTCTAATTATAACATAGCCGATGGAATATGTAGAGACCAACAACTAAAAGAATACAACAATTGAATGAAGGTCTTGAGTGTGCCTATTAGCTTTCTTAACTTCGGAAGCCAATATTCAATTTATACCATTTCTTATTTCTAGAAAATATTCTGAGTATCTCATAAGCTGTGAAAAAATTCCTTAGAATCTTGTTCTACTGCAACACATTTTCTAATTAAAATGTTTTTAAGGAAGAAGGCACTCAAAGGAATAAAGCTCTTCTCAAAGTTCAACTATAATAATGATATAGTTCTAATTAGATTTAAAAACAAATACAAGACATAAAAATAGAATAAAAAAAAATTGAAAAAATTGCATCCATTTCTAAATTAAAAAAAACCTCCATAGAGTTATAAAGCTGCCAAATAATAAAGCTTTATGGGTCAACGCATTAATATTCCCTTAACTCCTACAAAGAAAAATGAAGCCAAACAAAATCAAATTTTCGTTTCCATTAAAATAGTGGCTAATTTTTTTCGCCTAACTTCAAGGGGGGGTTATTTTTTTTGAGTTTGTTTATGTTTAAAGGGGTTATGTTGTATAAAGACATAGATAAGAAGAAAAAAATAGACAACCCAAATAATACTCTTCTTGCTTTTTGACCCCAAATTGACCATTGGTTATCTCTTCTTATAATTTAAGGACAATTCCTTTCCTCCTGCGAGTTAATCGAGAAGAGATACAAAGTGAAGTTGCCAAATTTTTGATAAATTTTATTATAACGAATTCTTTTTCAAAGTTTAAACGAGTTTGAGCACAAGCAAAATTTATATCTAGCCTTAAAGTATCTTATTCCCAAAAATCCTTGTTTCCAGAAATGTCGAAACTATTAAAATTTAAAAATTGTTAAACAACTTGGAAAAAATTTCTACAATTATAAACAATAAGGCCCGAATGGAGATATGTAGAGAAACCAACAACTAAAAGAAAATACAACAATTGAAATGAGGTCTTTGAGTGTGCCTTATTAAAGCTTTCTTAAAAACTTGGAAGCCAATTATTCCAATTTTAACCCATTCTTTATTTCTAAGAAAATATTTTCTGAAGTATAATGCGTGCAATAAGCTGTGGAAAAAATTGGCAAAGTTAATACCTTTATTAAATAAGTTTATTGATAGAATTATTTTTTTATATATTTATTGTAAGTTATACGTTGATAAGGTTTCCGTTAATTAAAAGGAATCAAAATTCCCATCGAGAATCTTCTGCCTTTTAAACTTGGTTATTAACCTTAACTAAATAACAAATCGAGCTTTTGAAACAAAGCTTTTTAAAATTTAGTAAGAATTCCTTCGACACTTGAGTTTTATTCTGAATTCTTCTAGTTGTTCGTTTTTCTGAACTAGATTTTGTTCTAGAATTTTAGTAAAGTTGAAAATTGTTGCTTTATTAAATTTAGTTTTGCTTAAAAAAAGGTCAAATTGTTCATTAACTATAACAGTAGAGGTTTCTCACGACCTATGATGAGTTAGAGAAATCTCATCGAAGTCCTCTCCACAAACATAAACTATGCTCATTTTACCAATAGTCTAAACCACAAAGATTCCAGATCTATGATTCCCTCAAAAGCCTATGCAAAGAGTAGAAAAAATCTTATAATAATAAAGTTAGAAAGAAAGAGAGCCAGCAAAATTGATTGGCAAAAAGAAAATACAAAAGTCTATTGTAAATAAGGAGAAAACTTGAATAAAAGAAGATACACAAAGCTATGGTATAAGCAGAATAACAAAAAACTTATAAATTAAATAAAGTTAAGAAGAAAAGAAGCAGCAAAAAATTGGACTACCAAAAAAAAAAAAGAAATAGCAGGAAGCTATGTGTATAAGAGAAACAATTGGATTTCTTTTTAGAGCATACTCCTCACTATTTCCATTGGTTTATAGTAAACAAACTAGACCTAAAACCAACGAAACTTTTTCCCCCGCGTAAACTTTCCACTTAAGGTGGAGAATACGATACCGATAGGACAATTACTTTAAAAAATGGCATTAAATTTTCCAGATTCTAAGAACGAGAGAATTTTTGAAGTTTTCATAAATGTCTCTAAAAAGTACAACACACACAACCATGAAACTCAATAAACTAAAACACAAAAAAGGGGGGGTGTAAAAGGATTAAAGAGATTTCAAAATGCCCAAAAGAATCCTATATTGCGAAAAGGGTTACTTTATGGGCAGGGTCCCTCTATTATCCATTCATGGCGGTAATATTCTGAGCTAGGAAGGAAAAATGAAGAATTTTCAATTAACAAAATATAAACCCAACCAATATAGTTATGGGTTTTCATCTCAAAGTACAAAATAAGCCAATGACATCAATAAAACTAACACAAAAGGAAAAAATTAAAGAGATTTCAAATGCCAAAAGAATCTAATTGAAAAGGGTTACCTTTATGGGCAGGGTCTCTATTATCCATCATGGTAATATCTGAGCTAGAGAAAAATGAAGAATTTTCAATTAACAAATATAAACCAACATATGTTATGGATAGTAAAGTAGTTTTAAGTACTCATTTATAAAAGATTAAAGGTATTTTGAAATAAAAAATCAGAAATAAAAAAAATAGAAAATGATTTACTATCCAAAAATAAAAGAAATATCACCTGAAAAGCATAATCATTCATTAGTCAATTCAGTTGTTCGAGTAGAAATCACAACAAAGTTGTTCAACTCTTGTAATTTTTGGATAGAAGCAAGGCTACATTCTTCCCCAAATCATCTTCAATGAAAACAAAATTGCTGGAAAAGTCCTATAATTCAACAACTTCCTCATAGTGCAAGATCACCCCAACAAGAATCAGGTTCGGTGTTGCAAGGAATAGAGAATCCAACTACCGAAAATTAAAATTAATTTTGTGACTATTAAATTTTCATTCATACTTATTATGCACCTATCATTCCATAGGTCATTTAGAATCAGAATCAAATATGTCATTGAGATCTAAGATGGCAAAAGTCTACCTAAAAGACTTTCAGTTTATATTTACAAAACCAACATAAAGTAGCAGCTAGTACGCCAAAATAAAACAAATAAAATCAAAAACAAAATAAAAGTGAATTAATTTGTAAGATACTATATACCAAGCTCGACACCAAGGCCTTGCATCCCGGATCCAAAGTGTGTTAGAGGCAAATAGCCACCACATGATCTTGCGCTCGTAAACAGTAAGCTGATGGCTATGAAGAAAATCATCAATGTGATTTGATGGGCTTATTATGCTAGAAATACTAATTTGCATATCAAACCTCATTTTATTATTTCTCCAATTATCCACGCTTGATAATCACATAAAATTAATAAAAAAAACCTAGTGTCACTAATAGGAGGATCGACAATAAAAGGAAAAGATAAAATCAAGGTTTCATCTGCTTTTTGAAATGGACCTGATGCGCTAGACTCGTCAAAGATAACAAAGTTGGACATATTGTTTCTCCAATTATCCATGCCTGATAATCACATACAATTAATAAAAAAAAATCTAGTGTGAGAGGAGGATCGGCGATGAAAAGGAAAAGATAAATCAAGGTTCCATCTACTTTTTGAAATGGATATAATGCGTTAGACTCGTCGAAGATAGTAGAGTTGGACAAAAGAATCGACTCCAGAAACGTTTTCTAGGTTGTAGTTTATAGATTGTGTTTTTATATTTAGTCGATGAGAAAAGTTCATGAAAAAAAAAAGAAAAATATGAATTTAAAAGTGGTTAATAAATAAGAAAAACTATAAAAATTGATGAATAAATCAGAAAATTTATTAAACAAGAAAAATAGAAAGCTGAAAAAAGGAAATGCCAAATCAACCTTCTAAAATTATTTTTTACTTCACGATTATATTAAAGAGTAAATTAGATGTGGCCCTAAAGCCGTGTTATTTGGGGAAAGAAACTACCGATGTGTTTTTCTTTATATCATTAGTCAAATTTATTTTCTTTAATGTTTCCCCTACCAAAGTTGACCTCACCGAGATTTAATTTAAGATTTTCATTGCGTTGGCAAATTTTAGTTGAAGGTTGAAACCTAATTTGAGACGTGTTATTGTCCAGATACATTGAACCTGATGTGCTTTCCTTTCCTAGTTTCGATTTTTGAAGAGGCACCACACGGCACACGCTTCGCAACTTGCAACTCAGGGATGGCAACGCGGAAAACGATACTAGCTGTCTATCTGTCTAGATTCATTGCATCTAGACGCTATGATATTCTTTAGATTTTAAGTTAATAATTTTATTTCCTAATGAAAAAAGGATAATGATTTTATTGTGAATTATTAAAATATTTTGCTTATAATTAAATAAAAATAATAAAGAATAATTTCGTTATCTTTGAAAATTTAAAAATTTAAAAATCTTAGACCAACAATATTTCAATCAAAATGCAATTTTTGTTTTTATAATCGGAAAAAAATGTAAAACAGTCAATTAATTAATATCCAAAGAGAAAATATGTATGACACGAATAAAAATATAAAATCAGTAAAGCGTAGGTGGAGTTAATGAGGCGGGCCCACTCTGTCCTCCTTGAAGTTGGCTTGGCTCCCCTAGTTGTTGCAATTGCATAAATGGTCTCCACCACCGCCTCGCCATTTCCCTCGAAAACCAGGAAAAAATACGGAGCTCCGAGAGAGATACAGAAAGAGAGAATCCTGAAGAAATTTCGGCTAAACCTTCATCGTTTAGCCCTTATTCTCTCTTTTCGTTTCTCTCTTTAGCGCTACCTCCGATTTCTTCAACATTCAGCTTTCTTCGTCGGCCAGATTGGTGCATATCTGCCATTACTCCCTCGCCAGTTCTTAAACTCGGTCTTCGATCTTCTTGTAAGCAACTCAACTTCCTTCACGTTACTTTTTCGTGTACGATATAATGTGCTTTTATTGATTACAAATTTTCATTTTCTGTTTTTTAAACTACGTTGGCTGTTTTATTTCACTTTTTTTTTAATCTCCTTTTCGGAATCGCCTGTTTGATTTGTTGGTATATTGGTGGAATAGAATGAAATAGAAAAATCGAATAGTCACTTTTCTAGTTTTAAGTGAAAGCTAAGAAAGAAACGTAATCAGAATGAAAAAGTTAGTCTGTAGATTGTAAATTTATATATACTCTATGATAATTGTGAAAGGCAACTGGTTTCTCAAATTGTTACCTGTCAAAATGAAAATAAACAGGAAAAAAAAAATCTGACATTTATGCATACAACTGGACAAACCATGATGGGGCACCTTGGGCTAGAGTTTAATTTTCGTTAGATTGGGATAAGATAAGAGCTACAAGAATAAAGGAAATTAAACACAGGACTAAAACTGGGGGACTGGTTTATTGACTGATGTGTTACGGACTAGTTTTTTAGATAGTAACCCGCTATCTGAAGTTTTAGTTTTAGTTGTTTTAATTTTAATTACACTTTATATTTCTTTGGTGGAGTGGTGACGGTAACGAAAGTTTTATGTCTCAGGAGTTATACCAAAATGGTGTTCTGGGTTTTTGGCTATGGTTCGTTGGTGTGGAACCCGGGATTTGAATATGATGAGAAAGTGATAGGCTTTATCAAGGATTACAGACGAGTATTTGATCTTGGTATGTTTATCATTAATTTACATTTGTTGGATCTATTACTGATTTGTGGACGTTTTACAGTATTAGTTCTACAATTTAAAATTGCCTTCTTAATTCTTTGTTCACATTTCTGTATTCCAGCATGCATTGATCACAGAGGTACACCTGAACGTCCTGCGAGAACTTGCACATTGGAAAATGTTGAAGGATCTGTTTGCGTAAGTAGATCTTGTTATTAGCAGTCATCTCATTTTACCTAATTTTGGTAGCGAAGATCAGACAAGAGTTTGTTGTTTCAACAGACATGTTTCCCCTTATTTATGATTTTTTTTGTCCTTTACTTTTAGTGGGGTGCTGCTTACTGTGTTCGTGGAGGACCTGAAAGGGAAAGACTAACAATGGAGGTATATGCTTTTGTCACCTTTCAACTTTAAACGTCTTAGGATGATAAAAGTGGCAGTAATAAAGAATGTTTGTGAGCAAAAATATAGTAGCTATGACTGAGTGGCATTATTATGGGCATTTTGCTAATTCATTAAAACAAGTGCCTAGGAAGTGCATGACCTTATTTATTTGAATTAATAATGTTCCTTTATTATAAAAAGAGAATCTTTCATCCTTTTGTCCATCATGTTGATTTACATTTTGCTGGAAAGCAAACTGATAATTTTTTTTCCCCCTGTAGTATTTGGAACGGAGAGAATGTGAATATGATAAGAAAACCCTTGTAGAATTTTACAAGGTGAGCTGACGGTTTCTTTCATTCGAGTTTTAAACCTGAAATTGTCAATTTGATTACCTATGCTTCTGTTTTCATGCCTGCTATGTTCTTATTTCTAATTATGTGTTTCACTTGATCTAGGAAGGGGATCACTCGCGACCTGCTTTAACAGGAGTCATAGTGTGAGTAGCTGCTTGACATCAATTCAAACCATTGTTTTATTACAACAGGCAATGACAAGACCTATTTTGCTTCATGTACAGTTTCACTTCCACTCCGGATAAAATATCAAACAAGTACTACTTGGGACCTGCTCCCTTGGAGGAAATGGCTAGGTATATTGCATTGGCCTATTTAATTTATTTTTTTTCATCCCAGCCAAGTTAATTCTTTCGTTTGAAGAGATTCTTTTTTACTATTTCAGCCAAATTGCAACGGCCCATGGACCTTGTGGGAATAACAGAGACTACCTATTCCTGTTAGAAAAAGCCATGTTTGATATTGGTGAGAATCATTTTCTTAAAATGCACCTATCATTGTGCATAAATGTATCATATCACTTGAATCATCACAATTTTCCCAAATGCTTGAGCGCTCAATGTCTAACAGGTCATGAAGATGACATGGTGATTGAATTGGCAAATGAAGTGAGGAAGGTACTTGTTGCGCTTAATTCCTATGTTCCAGCCCTTAAACTACGTCCACTCACGGAAGCTGTGGCGCTGGATTCTTAATATTGAAGACAGATAACTGAAGGAAAGGGGGGCATAAACCAGAGCTCCACTAACTTGATTACACTCCTGGAGAATCCTCTCTGTTTTTTCGTTTTTTACACCCTGCCAAAAGATTATTATTATTATTATTATTTTTTTTTCGTATGTTCCCGTCATTGCTTCTTAGTTATTAGCATCCACTTGTCTGTTTAGGCTCATAGCATTGCTGTGTCTCTAACATTAACCATAGTGTTTGAGCAAAAGAGATGTAACTGGCCAACGGCCGCCCGCTATAAACAATGATAATTTTTATTTTTGAGAACAATGATAAATGATAACTGGTGATTCCTTCAACGTGAGTTCCTGGGAAACGAACAATCCCAAAGCCGAAATTCTTCTATTTGAATCCTCCATTCGACATTTGATTCTTTATAAAAGTAATCAAAAAAATAGTTTAAATGATATTATGAATAAACAACTAGAAAAATTAAAAAATAAAATTTTCTTTTAAAAAAATAAGATGTTGAGCTAAGAGAGATCTTAAAATTGATTTTTTTTTTTTTTTTTTAGATCTTAAAATTGATTTTTTTTTTTTAATATTTTGATGCTATACAAAGAGAAGTTAAAATTTTGTTTTATTTTTTTTTTTTTTTTTTAATATGATGCTATACAAAGAGAAGTTTTAAAATTTTGTTTTGTTTTAATTTTTATAGTTATTGAAAAATAATGGTGGAGAGATAAGATTTGATTAGAAAGATTGATTATATAAATAAATAGATACAGATAAAAAATTTTAAAAATATGAAGTTATTAAGTACTAATATCTATTAATTATAAAATCTATTTTTGTGTATTTTTTTTTAAAATACGGATGTACAAATTATTAACGTTTAAGAAACATACATCATCATGAAATAATTTTAGAGAGTTAATAACCCATTCCAAATAATCGGTCATAGAACTAGTGGCTCTAATTATGGTATTTGCCACGTAATTCCCATATTGTATATATGGATTAATAAATTATATTGATTATTAATATACTATAATTAAATATTAAGCATCCAATCAAACTATAGAAAATAAAGAAAAAAATTAAAAATTTCTATAAATAGGAAAATAGAAAGCTAAATAAAGGGAATGCCTTGTGTTTTCTATTTGTTTTAATTTTTTATAATATGATTAAATTAAAAAAATTGAGGCTTCTAATTAAAATATAAAAAATAAAGAAAATTATTTGTATTATTATTATTATTTGAAATGTTTATTATTATTATTATTATTGTCATTATTATTATTATTATTATATTATCGGAGACGAGGAAAACAAATATAGAGAACAGAATAGGCTTGAGGAGGAAGTCAGATTCCAGGCATAAAGAACTGAAATTACAAAATCGCTCTCCCTCTCCCTTCTTTGCTTTTGCTTTACTAATCCTTATTGTTTCTGATTGAACTTTGGTTAATCTTTACTAAGTTAATGGATCTCAACGCTCCTCACTCCATGGGTACTACTATCATCGGCGTCACCTATAACGGTGGCGTGGTACTCGGTGCTGACTCTCGCACCAGCACTGGTAAATATTTAGCTTTCTGTCTTAGATTTGTTATTTTTGCTCATAAAGCTTCGATTGGTTGATTGTCGAAGTATTCTCAATCCAAGTTCAAAAAGAAAAATGTGTGGGTTTTGAGTTTGACGAAATTTTATAAATTTGTGAGGTGCTGCTTTTTTCAGGAATGTATGTTGCTAATAGGGCATCTGACAAAATTACTCAGCTAACTGACAATGTTTACATTTGCCGTTCTGGATCGGTATTATTTTCTCTGTTCTTATTTGTCTCCTAATTCCAATTAATTGAAGATGATTGTTACTACTGTGTTTATTATGAATGCTAATTTCATGCTCGTTTCTTTTGCAGGCTGCAGATTCCCAAATTGTATCTGATTATGTGCGTTACTTTCTTCATCAACACACGTGAGTGCTTTTTCATTTTCTTGTTAATTTTGTCTAGGCATTTACCTATTGTTTGGATCAAGGGTTTTTTAGAGTAAGGTATTGAGTTGTTTGGGGAAGTTTATTTTAAAGGAACGGTTTTAGGCTATCTTTTAGCTATTGATGAATATTCTGTGAGCCATTACTGTTCAACTCATTCGTAGGCAGTAATTAAATGGCATGTGGGGGTGATTGTCAAACTCTACATAATGACCTTTGATGTTACTTTACAATTTTGTTATACGAGGATTTATAGGTTGGATAGTGTTTATACATTTGCGGAGTTGGTGAAGATTGGAATGTTTTACTTCTGTTGGTACTTAGTGTTTTGCTGGAAGTAAATAGTCCATAATGGTATTCTTGTAGTTAGTAATTTTCTGAATAACAAATTACTCTTTTGGACAGAATACAGCTAGGGCAGCCTGCAACTGTCAAAGTTGCTGCGAATCTTGTCAGGCTACTATCTTATAACAATAAGGTTTGTGCTTACTTTACTTTTGATTGAGAGAGAACAGAAGGAAGGGAAAAACTGGGGAGAGGAGGGGATGTTATGGATTTGCTATTTTGGTTTCCTCGTTAAGTTGCTAGGGATCCTTATTCAAAAAGTTCACAATCTTGAGTTTTCCTACTCATGCTTGACCTTCTACAATTTTTGCATTGCAGAACATGCTGGAAACTGGCATAATAGTTGGTGGGTGGGACAAGTACGAGGGTGGTAAAATTTATGGAATTCCTCTTGGTGGGACAATAATAGAGCAGCCTTTTGCTATAGGAGGTATATATTTCCCCCTCTACTCTATGAACGAGGTTTTCACAGAGCCAGGGGATTCTCATGCACCAGGGATGGTGCATCTTAATTTGATGCCGTAGCTTGATTACATTTACTATTACCCGTGCATTTGATTTGATCTAGATTCACCTCTAATTTTTTTTTTTTTTAAATATACCATGTTATTTATAGCCTTTCTCCTTTGATAATGGTTAAATATTTTTTCGGCTTGCAGTTTAGTTCTTGGAGTTGACTTACATATCTATTTGCGCTTGGCTTGTCACTGTGTATTTTTCTAAAAATTTCTTTGAGTATTGGAACAGCTTTGAATTGCTTAATGCTTTAGTGATTAACATCTTGTGATTTTGGGATTCTATTTTTAAATATTAATTGATGCAAATAGAAAATCTTATTACTGCAATGATAATATAATATCAGAACAGTTGAAATAATGATGGGATTTTCAGGATCTGGCTCCAGTTATTTGTATGGATTCTTTGATCAAGCATGGAAAGAAGGAATGACAAAAGATGAAGCTGAGGTATGTAGCTGTCAATGCAAATGGAACAATTATTTAATAACTTGGAACAGATTTTTGATGAACAATTTTGATGTTTGATTGGACTTTATCCCTAGTTTTGACTTGTGAAGTTATATCTATTTGAAACAAAACTGTGTTACTAGGGTTAAGATTGATTGACGGAAGTGCAAATTTAAGATGAAAAATGGATTTTGGTTTTGATAGGACAACTGAGCTACACAAATTCCTCATTTATATGGATAATGGATCTGTGTGCTACTTAGTCAGTAGAGAAGAATATATGTGCAAGAAATAATATCTAAGCATTGATTATAAAAGTAACTTGGATGCGTGGCAGCAATTAGTTGTGAAGGCAGTTTCCCTGGCAATCGCAAGAGATGGCGCTAGCGGTGGTGTTGTGCGCACTGTCATTGTAAGTTTTTCAGGAGTAAGCAATGTAGATATTTCTCATATTCAAAGCTCAAAAAATGATCTAGAACTCTTTTGGTCTATGATGTGGTGTTTTTGCAGATTAATTCAGAGGGAGTGACAAGAAACTACTATCCTGGCGACACACTTCCGCTGTGGCATGAAGAGTTAGAGCCTCAGAATTCACTATTGGATATGCTTAATACCTCTAGTCCTGAGCCAATGAACATATGATGACTTGAAAGATAGACATGGCTTGCCATATTTTAGCATTTACGTCACTGGCTGTCCTGCTACATTTCATTTTCTTCTTCTATTAAATAGGACTATTTGTATGTCTTGGAAAGAGACTCTTGTATTTGTTCAACTTGCAACTTAAAGATGCTATGTATTTCAGACCTTGGATTTGGTTATTTTTACCACTTGATTATTAACTGGCCATGGCACCAAGGCAACTCTAGCAAATGAGTCGGTGGAATTACCAATATTTTTGGAGTCAGCCATTCTGTCCTGCTACATTTCATTTTCTTCTTCTATTAAATAGGACTATTTGTATGTCTTGGAAAGAGACTCTTGTATTTGTTCAACTTGCAACTTAAAGATGCTATGTATTTCAGACCTTGGATTTGGTTATTTTTACCACTTGATTATTAACTGGCCATGGCACCAAGGCAACTCTAGCAAATGAGTCGGTGGAATTACCAATATTTTTGGAGTCAGCCATTTTGGGCCTATTTAAAGGTGGATCTGGATCCAGTGGGTCCATCCGGTCGGTCTACATTTGATCTTCCGCCTGGGCTCTTGTTGTTTATTATCGTAATATCACAGTTTAACAAGCTTTAGAACGTTGAATTTCTTACGCCAATAAAATTAAAACATAAAATTTTTCTAAAAAAGCAAACTTTTACGGATTGAGATTAGGTTCCGTTTGGAAAATAATTTATCTTTCAAAAATATTTTTTTAATTATAGGCCATATTTTTTTTTATAATTATAAAAAATTTAGTATTAAACATAAAAATAATAAATTTTTATAGTCGCCTGTCTAAACCAACTAGGCATGTATACATATACATATACATACAATACATACATATATATATATATATCGTAGAGTTAGATTGGATGTTGAGAAAATAAATGTGGCGGGTTATGGTTGGTGCAGTAGCGATAACAGATTTTTTTTTTAACCGCAAATTCATTTATTTATATTTGTATTATATTATAAGTGGAACAATTAAATGGTTAGCGTGGTTATCTACAGTAGATAGAAAGTTGGAGACGATGAGTTCGGCTTCAGCAATGGCAGGCGTCAGTGAGTTTCACAAAGTGTTCGTGTACGGAAGCCTCCTAGCTGACGATGTCGTTCGAGTCCTGTTGAACCGCATCCCTCAATCCTCCACCGCCATCCTAAACGGCTTGTCTGTTTTCGCTTTTCATTTGATAATATATTCCGATCGGTGCTTGTTGTTTTTCGTTTCTTGGATTTGATTTTTTCTTTTTCACTGAATAAGGAATATATTTTGCAGTCATAGGTTTAGCATAAGAGGCTGTGTTTATCCTGCCATTTTACCTGTCCCCAAGCAGCAAGTTATCGGCAAGGTCTTTCCAATTAATTCTTCTTTTTGTGTGTATTTTCTTTTTCTTTCTTTTTTTTATTATTTATTTAAATAAAAATAAAGTTGAGCGCAGGTCCTCTTTGGCATCACTGATCCTGAATTAGATATTTTAGATACGTTCGAGGACGTTGAGTATCGAAGGACAATGGTTGAGGTTTCCTTGATGGTATGGGCGACTTTCTCTTCTAAAATCCTTATCCTTCTATTTCTATAAGCTCAGCTATGTTTGCATATATTCTGCAAATAATCAATGTTTCTGTTTTTGTTTCTCCCGACACATTGAGAGACTTTCTTTCCATGTATGGAGAGTTCCTATTTTATGTGTGTTGAGCTAGCTTTTGGGGTTAGTTAGGTCCATGGTCATTTTCTTCACATGGTATCAGAGAGCCCATGCCCCATATGTTCTTGCCTGTGCATGACCATCATCTACCTAATTGGATGTTCTAATGATACTATGCAGGATAATACTGAGAAATTACAAGCATATGCTTATGTCTGGTGCGACAAAGATGATCCCAACTTGTTTGGAGAATGGGATTTCGAGGTAAACTTGTTGTCTTCTCTTTTGTCTTACGGTATATTTTACTGTAGCAAATAAATGTTTATGACTTCGTTAAGAGATTTTGGTGTTTTATTTTATTCCATTCTTTGTTCCTTCCTTACATACTGATCTTTCGTGATGAATAAAGGAATGGAAAAGAACGCACATGAATGATTTTCTCAAGATGACCACTGGATTTATGGAAGAACTAGAGCTGCCCGAATCAAAGCCTAGAGTAGCCACTTATGAATCCTTCTTTCAGCCAGATGGCAACCCTTCCTCTACGCCTTGATGGTGTCCTCAACATCTGAAACATGTTATTCTACTTTTTAACATTCAATTGTTTCAAGGGCAAAAACACGTCTATTTAGAAGGTTCATGATGTGTCATTTGTCCATTATAATGCTTATTATGTTTATTTCTAGTAATTCACAGGCTTTACAAGATCTGTTTCCCATATGATTAAAATTACGCAAAAGAACCGCTGTTTCTTACTAGTTCACGAGATCCAAATCCCAAAATAAATGATAAGATTTAGAGGTCATTTGGCTCGGCAGAATTTAGAATTTTTTAAAGTTGTGACCTCAATTTCACCACTTTGAAAGAGAAATCCCACCTTTGGGTGGAATTTTGCAATTCCATCATTTTGTCTCCTCCTCCAGATATGAACATGGACAGATTTGCTTGATGTTCATTGACCATGCTTGTTCAAGGCAACCCATTTCCAAATAAAACTGTAACAACGGCAACAGAGCATTCAGGTTAGGACCAATTCTGGCCCGCGCAAGCAGTCAGTAGAAATACATACTTTGATCATTAGAGTAAACGCCAGTTGTCCCCTCGTATTGTTTATCAACGTCCATAGATGCAAAACATTATGTTGTTTTGGGTATCATGTTTCAGTTGTCACCATTAGATTTAAATAGTAGGTGAGGTCATCATTAAAAAAACAATTATTAATACAAGGATGGCTAAGCGCAGAGATGTTTTCAAGATATCGCAAATTCACTAGCAAAATTCATATTATTATTCAGGCCGAGTGCGTATTATTATTTACTAGATCAATGACGGCAACTTCACTATAAAATTAAATGATGAACCAGAACTGTCAATGCAATAAATAATAATCTAGTTTAAAATGATGTACGCCGGCGAATTCTCAGATACCCGAACATTGCTGCCCCTGGCGATGAGCCCTCAAAAATAAATGGCAAATAGCCCGTTGCGCCTTTGTACCTCTGCTGAATCTGGATGACCAAAACACAAGCATTAACAATGGCAAAGAATGCGAAGAACATAAAATTTCCCTCAAAAAGGAAGAAGAAATAGAAACATGACAAGTTCTAAATTTCAAACGGTAAATTTGGGAAATAGAATAAGGCAAGCTGGGCAACGGAAATTATCATCACGAAAATTGCACTGAGATTATGGAAAATAACAAATTCAAGTGCAACAAGTTTTCAGCTTATTTTATGCATGAATGCAAGCAAAAGAGAATTTGGCAACCATGTTGTAAATTTGTGACACCCAAGGGAAAAGGCTCTAAAGCCCCTACTCCTATTATTTTTGAATTAACAGGCAAGGGATGAGTGCATCTTTCCCCTTACTAATTAAGCAAGGTTGTAATCGTAATTGCCCTTGATTTCATGAGTTGATTAGTTCATGAGTGCATCCAGCAAATGCTAAATCCACCCCTCTCAATAGAACTCGTAAACTTTGGAAAAAAACAAAAGAAACTTACCTCAAAAATTTGTTGGCTGCTACGTAGACAGTTCCTACCAATTACACACACTGTCCCACCAGAACCCCCACCAGTTATTTTTGCCCCATATAATGTCCCATCTTCAGATTTGGAGGATTTACAATGTTGCATTTCTTGTACCAGTCGCACAAGTCTGTCTGTCCCATCAGAGCCAAGTCCACAAGCACCGTAGCTGTAGTGACACTGAAACAGGTTGTATATCAGTTGCTACATCCCTTTTTGTAGTTCCGTACAGGCATTTATCATGCTCCAACCATTGCAAAAGCTTTTTGATTTTAAGTTAGAAATAGCGTGTGAAATCCAAATCAATGGTAAGAGAGTTAAGAATGTAGTGAGCATGTATTGGCAAAAAATACGATATCTGCTGAAGTATCAGAACTGTATCAAGATTACATGGATGTTCATTTATACTTTGCCAATAGTATTTACTAGGGTCCATCAGCCAATTCATTCACTCCTATAAAGAAGAGGTATTCCCATTGTTCAAAAAAAAAGTTGCCTCCAAGAAAAACAATGGTAAAGATATTTGTGAATTTGGTTCTTCCTTCTAAAGATAAATAATAATCAGGAATCATTTTCTTCCTATTGAGTAAATCATATATCTCTATAATTCAACAATAGCAACTAAAATGCAATCATTTGCACCACATTATTTCCATGAAGGAAATCTGCCTTATCAGAGAATTCGGGAGTAATTAAAATTCAACAGTTGACTCCAATAATCCATCAAAAACAGAACTTTGTATGTACCTGATACAAGAGTTCCCCAAGAGATGTAAGCTGCTCATCTGAAGTTGCGGATGATAACAATGCTTTGAAGGCCTAACATTAATTACCAAAATTCTCAATTTAGACAGTCTCTTGTGAACTAAATAAAATGTCTCAGAAGTTGTTCAGGTTCTTGTTATTATTATGAACAGTAGATCATATGAATCCATTAGCACTGACCTTGACCCTGAAGTTTTCATAGATAGGATGTTTAGCAGGTGCTCTCACCCCATATGTGTGCTTTTGATCAATTACTGTGACAGGATCATTGTGATCAACATATTTCTCCAAAAATACCTCACCAGGTATGGAATCAGGAAGCACCTTAGCATAAAGAGCTTCATATCTGTAAAATGAGATTTGCATGAAAAATTAAAAGGAAAGTAAAAACATTTAACATGACTCAAAAGCTTCATATCCATGGAATATACCTAATCTCTATAAAAGAGATTTTGTCAGCAGGAGCATGAAATCACAATAAGAAGGTAAGTTATTGTTTTCTATGTTGTAAACCAGTTTTTAAGAAAGTGTAAGGAATTATTTTAAAGAAAAATTGTAATACAGCATTTAAAACAGCTTCATGAAGTAAGGATTATAACAATACCAAACAACTAGTAAAAGTAGTTTTGTAAGACATATTGCCAACTAGAAGCAAGCAACACCAAGTTATAATCAATAGTGACCATTGATTAATTAACGACAATAACAAATCAATAGTGAGCCTTACCTGTGTGGTGACAAGTTGCACAAATAATCTAATGAAGCCTCAGCTTTGAGCAGTTCAACACCATCCTCCAACTCATCAAGGATTGATCCACTAACACCGGGCAATGACCTACCCAAAATAGCAGATGCCATAGACTTTATCATCGTTCGACCCATGAAGGCACCAATTCTTACAGATCCATAGTCTGCACCGCCAACACTATCAAAAGTAGAATAATCAACTAAGAGTTGGAAATTCTAAAGGATAAAGATAGAATGCTTGGTTGAAAAGGATTACTGTAACAAATAGAAGTTCCACAAGAGTAGCATAGCAATTAAACTTAAAGAAGGATATTTTGACTTGTAATGGCCATCTGAATAATTTGAATAAGGATCACGAAATGTAAATGCATTAATGAACATTCAAAAGGCCAGGTTTCAGTTTTCATAGTGCCAGAATTCAATGTCCACATAATAAAACCTGTATGCAACAAATATACCATGCAAAAAGAGAGCAAAGCCCACAACAGGGGGGTTGAGGTGGTAGAGTATAGTTTTATTTAAGGAAAGAGAGGACCACATTGGATCCTCTAATAAAAAAGCATCCAGTAAGAACAAGTGAATATTGATCTCTGCCATATTCCTTAGTTTGAAGATGGAATCCATTGGATGGCACAACCACAGAAGAAATGAAAATAATGCATTAAAAGATCACTATCACTTACCTGTGCCTTATCCCTGAATCAATTCCCCAGAATCGGATATGGCTAGGAATTTCTACAAGACCTATTACCTCAGCAGGCTACAAAAAAAAAAAAAAAAAAAAAAAAAAAAAAAAAAAAAGTTTGAAGATGGAATCCATTGGATGGGCCACAACCACAGCGAAGAAAATGAAAAATAATGCAATTAAAAGAATCACTATGCACTTCACCTGTGCCTTAGCCTGAATCAATTCCCCAGAATGCGGATATGGCTAGGCAGATTTCTAACAAGACCTATTACCCTCAGCAGGCTACAACAAAAAAGGAGAAAAAAAAAAAAAAAAAAAAAAAAAGAAGACTGTTGGCCATTGGTCTCAATCTAAAAAAAAAAAAAAAAAAAAAAAAAAAAAAAAAAAAGAAGACTGTTGGCATTGTCTCTCAATCTTTAAAGCAAATTTCAGTGGCACTAATTCTACATACCTGGCAAACCATTGCAAGGAGTTTATTGGCTTCACCACATACTGAAGTCATCTGGTCCATCACACCACATGGAGCTCCAACTATGTGATTCTCCACCTATATAATGGTCAATAAGAATTAAGAGATCCAACTAATTTTCATAACTTCAAAAGGAAATTCTGATTGGTGAAAATTTTCAATTAGAATGATGTATCAATTTCAAACCTTCTGGCAGAGTAAAGCCATATCTCTTGGGCTGATGCTTAATCCTGAGAAGATAGAAGATGGTTGGAGTTAACAATTTGCCAAAGATAGACTTACATGTACTCGTACCAAATCACTCTTCCAATCAAAATAGAATACGACTTCAAACAGTATTCTCCCTAAATTACAAAGATTCAATCTAAAGTCATATAAGCATAAGTCTTGAAATATGCAAATTGCTAGACACAAGAACAAGCAAGCAAAATATTTTCCTAAAAAAATTGCATATAAGTTCAGGAAGATTGCTACAAAATAGCATTTTAACATCAGCTTGTAAAAACTACATTCATGTTGGAAGAAAGATAATTAATTATTCAAACCAATTTAGTATGTTCGACCATCAGCAAACTTCCAAATGTGCTAAAAAAAATATAAATTTCACCATGAGAAGAACTTTGCCACTGAGAGAACTCCAATTAAAATAGTACCTAGGAAAATGGCAGAAGATATTGATATTTCCTGATATAGATGTGAAACTAAATATGTTGCCCCTAGCTGGAACTTTTTATGTTCTAACCTTCTTTAGTTAAGCATCCATCATCTCGTAGTGCCCATTTGAAAATCTTAAATTTATTAGAAGATCAATAGAATAATAATAGTTTGCATAAAGCATTATGAAATTAGAATAATAATCACCATGAGCAGCAGCTATAGCAGACATGCTGGCTACCTCCACAGAGGCAGAAGAAGATACACCTTTGCCTTCTGGAACTGCAGAAGAAACCTGTATTTTGTACATGAGAAATTATGTAAACAATCGCCTGAATACGTATCATTAAGTATAAAAAGCACAGATGATT